ACCTTGAGGCTCAACCGCAATGCCGAGACTCAGTCTTCGCTCTTCTCGGTCCGCAGCTCACCGGAAGCTCAGGAATCACGCCCGTCCGTGCTGCTGATCGTATCGAGGTGTCATCCTTCCTTCTGCCGTCAGGTCTCAGTTTGATTTATACTAATAGCTAGTGAAAAGCAGCATCGATGGAAGTCCCAGCGCCCATACCTGTTCAAAGTACAGAGAGTCTATAAAGACACCGCCCTTGTCTCGCCAATTGCTCTTTCCCAGAGAACCTCGGCCGTCGCATTGATGGGGGTGGAGAAGCGGCCATCTAGAGACTATCCTTTTAGACAGCTTGACAGTTTCTCAAGGCCACTTGTCCGACGGACCTCCAGCCCCTCAACTCCGTTGTTCTGTCTCACCTGTCGATTCCCATTTTCATTCCATTGACCGGGTTGCGACATGTTTCACTCGCTGTTCCGGCTGCATGAAGAAGCATCCAATTCCATCCCCTGCAAACAACCCTGGTCAACCGGTCAACAAACCTTGCAGGAGCCAGGGCCTACACTCCCCTCCCTGCCTCAACATCCTGGGCATCGAGTGCCAGCCGTTGTCGTCACCGCTGTTCGGAGGGGGAAAAAAAGCTTTTCTACAGTAGGAATCGTCCAGCTCACTGGGCACAAGCACATAACATGGGCTGCACCGCATGTCGTCCCTTGGGCCGGCGTCATCATCTCGAGCACAGCTCCCGCTCCGGAGCAGTGGGGTAGTAACTGACGGTATGTAGTCTGAGGACATTATCAGCGTCGTGCTAGGCGGATTTTTGCAGAGGGGTCGACGCTTGGATTCGTGCCTGATGAAGCAACGTGTCGTTGAACTTTGATATGACGGTCACGCCATGGCTTGAGCAAGATAGCTAGCGTTTGAAGAGACTGGGCTGGTGAGATGGTCTAGAGCCTGTCTTGACATGCGTCGGGCATGGCTGCAGCCGGTCAGCCCGGTTTTCATAGACGTCGCTTTTTGCTAACCATTCTACACTCAAGACAGCTCAACGAGCAACCGCTTCTACCCAGCAGTCTCGGGAAAGGTATCAAAAACCCGCGAAGCAAGCTTGAACTTCTCCAGGTGGCTCTTCTCGACAACTTCGTACCTTTCGCCCATCTTACCTCTCTTTTCATCATGAAATCAGAGAGCTGGCCCATGCCAAACGCCTGTCATAGGCGTCTCCTCGTTCTTACACATATTGTCATCTGAGAGCCGCTCTCCTCTGTTGAATACCACCTGTGTAAGTACGTCTATCACAAGCCCACCATTATTTGTACAACAAATAGGTACGCTACTCAGTAGCTGCCTGTTCATGCCGCATGTGGGTCGATAGGCTTAACCTTACTTTGTGCGGCCTTCGGAACCCGATCATTGTTGCGAGCTTTGAAAGTGCGTCCAACCCGACTTTCTTTTTTTATCATCATACTCCTCAAGCCACCAAGACTAGGGTTGCCTCTCTTCTGCCGGCTTGTCATTCGGGTGGATGGGATTGTACAGGTGATAGTTCACAAATCGGGCCAAGCTCGCAAGCCACATTGTCTCTCGATGAGTGAGTCTCGTGGGGACGAATGGTTGAAGCTAGAGCACGCCATACATAACACGACAACATCCTACTACACCGTTTCTTTCACGATATCCCTCTTGACACGCCCATTGCGAGAATCAGGTCGTCTGCCTTGGCACTTGTTTTCCCCGCAGCTTGGTGTATGCAACAGAGTCGTACCAGGTCCTCGGATCGTCGCCCGCCCAATCCTCTGATATTGCCAAATCTTGTCGTGTCCAGTGGCTCGTTCAGCCAGACTCACTCTGCCCAAGGCTTTCCCACGTCCGTGTCTGCAATAACAGGCGGCTCGTGCCTTTATCAGGCTCCAGCAAAGCCGGACCTCACACTCTACATCTCCATCATGCAAGACTCACACACTGTTTCAAGTCTAAAAAGACAACTCTACCCCAACGAGTCGAGGTGGTGCGGAAAAGGACATCGTTCATCCGCATACGACATGCTGCCGACATCCATCCAAGTCACGCGTATCTTCTCCGGCGGACTTGGGCGTACAGGCACATTAGCTCCGTTGCGTCCATATACTACCCTGATCGTGGGTGGGTGGCCCTGGAACTCTCGTCTTTCCCTTGCACTTCGTATAAGGAAGAGACAGCTCTGCTTTTGCTAGTCTTTCGTCACGGCTTCGACGCTTCCAAGTCTGTCGGGTCATGCAAAGTGTAGCCATCTTCCTGCAGCCAGGCTCGCCGTTGTTCCGCAAAGTCCGGAGGGCAACAGGCTGGGCATCCAGGCGGCCATCTGCAAAGGGCGGGCTGGTATGGTTCCCCTTCTGGCAAGCACTAGCCATACAATATAACAACTCTGTCTCACTTTCTCTCCGGCCTGGCGGCTCGGATGCAAGGGAGACGAACGTTGGCTAACTTCGCGTAACAGCATCATTTGCCCTTTGGCCCGTATTGGTTGGTACAGCGACTTTAGTCTGCGCTGGACGGAACAGTCGCGTCAACAAGAACAACGCATATCCTACTTATACGGAACCAGCTTCCGGCCAAGGGTGAGTTTGGCATACATACTAGTACTTGCAGCTTGCATGGGACGGGATTTACTGCCTTGGTCAGGCGCACTTGAAAGCGACCAACCCCGACCCAGACTCTTACCGCCTGATGGCAGCCCGAGCATGTTGGCAATCGTGCTCCTCTCGTCTTTCACCCTGGTAAGTCATGGCGTTTTGGTAAAGGTGTGTGATAGGGTGAGAGGAGCTCTCGCACAATTGACTTGCACTCTTGTCAGGCATTTGCTCCTTATCGATGATAGAGTCGCCGCACCATGTGTATGGCAATCGTTGCTTAAGATGCTACAAGGAGGGACTCCAGGATCTTAAGCCTCAGTGCATTGTTTGCATGGAGAGCAGATATTGCTTGGCTTTCTTCCATTCTCATTCTTTCGATATTTGTCCTAGACGGCTTTCACTCAGCTAAAGGTCTTTTGGTAGAGAACGCACGCTTATGAACTGGAACTGGTCAAACTGCGTACCACAGCAGCGTTGTTGGCGAACTTTGCCGGTCGGTACATCTTCCTCTAGCATCAATGGCCTTGGAGTACATAGTTTGGGTGGCATTCTCAAGAGGCTATTCATCTCTAATACCCAGGTCAATATCGCCCTCTCTATAAAGTTGTGCCTCGTTCACTTTCTACGGAGACATACCCTCGGCCGTTCTTTTGAACCATTGTACAGACAACGTCGCCATATTGTGACTGCTCGGCGCCGGAGTCATGTCAGTAAAATCTCGATAAGCGATGCCAGATACGCTTATTACGCCAAGTTGGCGTTGAGCAGCTAAACCATCCTAGCGTCGTGAGAGAGTTGTATGATATGCTCTAGGCGATGCTTTGACGGCCATTCAACTGAAAAATCCCCGAAAAAAATCATAATAGCTTGCTAGATGACTGAGCATGCTGATCTAGAGAGGACCAAGTTTCCTATATTCATCAGATGATATCGTGCGGAGAAATTCTCCTCTTACTCTTGACTCATAAGGTAGAACGAGGTGCCTGCCTGGGCATGTTCATGGTCTTGTTGACCGATTTTGAATGGTTGAAAGATGAGCGCGGGCAGCAGTTTGGATCTCTATGGTCCTCAATGCGATATCAAAATGAATCATCCAGTGGCGATGCCATTAACATGCGGCCATCAGGGCAGTTGTAGAGATATGAAGAGCTCCTTTGGTCAAGTGTGCGGATAGGATGGAACAATGACCGTTTGGCTACAAGAAGAATACTTGAAAAATCCTTGACAGCATGACAGCCTTAGATCGAGTGACCAGGAGGCCATATCTTGGTCAAGAGGTGACTCCATTGGATTCCACATATCGCCGTCGGGTAGTCCATATTGCTAACTCGTACATGCTGTAGTTGCCGCAGCCGGGTAAACACCGCTCTCATAAACCAACCGCTGGCCAGACATTCAAAGAAAGAGAGCAGCCCAGCACAGAATCGGGATTCGTCTGTCGATGATGTTGAGTTCCATCACAGACACTCCCACTGCGAATGCCGCGACATGCATTCATTCAACCTCGACAACTTGACAAGCCCAACCGACGAACGAGGTTCTCCGCGCCTCAATTGAACCCCCACTCGCCCCTACCCCAACCAATCACCCCCCATTGCCCCACCTCAGCCTTGCCGCTTACATAACACCCGCAGCCCCTAGCCTATTAACGGAGCGACGGGAAGCCGAAACCTTTTTTTTTTTTTTTTTTAATATTACCACTAAGAAACAGGCCAAAAGCAATCCGAGCTCTTCCCATCAGGACGGGCCCTTCTCTCGCACAGACGACGACGCATTGCGCAGCCTCAGCCTTGTTTCCAAATCATCCCTCCCCAAGGCTGTGAATTTGTTCCCCCTCCCCCTTTTGTTTCCTCTCTCTCTCTCTCTCTCTCTCTCTCTCCCTCCTCCTTTTGACAAGCCAATTTGTCTCTGTCCTTTGCTCGGCCTTGACCATTTGTATGCTTTCGTCTTTGTTGACCTGGCGCGCCGAGGTGGTGTCGGGACTGTGAAAGTGGGAAAGCTGTTGCGCCTCTGTGATCGTCTCGGCTTAGTGGACGAAGGTGAGTTCATTGTGGCGCCGCCCTCAATTGATTCTCTTCTTTTCACATTCTTTTAACATACCACCGCTTTCCTTGCCATTGTCTTCTCTTTGCTGATTGTTGTCATCATTCAACAGCCTGCTCCGTGCACGAACAGGAAATCAAGAGCACCGTCGACTCGCGCTGCCGTCTCGGTCAACACCCGCATCCACTCGCACCCAGCTAGTGTATCTCGACCTGCCTCTATCCAACTACTCCCACAATCCTCACAGCCGGGCTCGATTGCCCGCTCAGCATCATCTGATTGGAACATCCTCGTCGCCCATCTCGCTCTCTTCATCACAGAACCACGCCATCTCCGACCAAAGTCGTCGCTCAAAAATCACAGCCCAACATGTCGCAGCGACCATCCACACCAGTCAAGGTGCCGCCCTCGGCAGCAAACTACACGCCCGCAACGCTGGACCCAGACCTGCGATCACAGATCAACGCGATACTGCTAAAAGACGGCCACGTCGCCAAGTCAGTTGCCCGCCCACCTCACTTTTTTTTTTCCCTCGACGTCCGGCTAACAATAAAAACCATTCCATTTCCTTCCCCCCTCCCCAGAATCCAAGAAGCCCTCCTCCACGCGCTCAACTCAAACTCCTCCAACTGGCCCACCGCCGTCCAGAACCACGCCCTGAACCTCCTCCGCTCCGGCGAAGTCACCACCTACCCTGCCCTCCTCCGCCGCGTCCTCGACGACGTCCGCGAGAGCCAGCCGTCCACATCCACATCCACGTCCAGCGCCAACGGCAAATCGTCAGCAGCGACAAACGGCGCCGACGCCAACAAGAAAGCCAACGGCGCCTCCTCGGACAAGCCGCCCCTCGCCATACCCACCTCCGTGATAGAAGAGGCCCTCCGCATCACGAGGGAAAGCCTCGACGCCGTCTGCGAAATCGAGGAGAAGGGCAGCGGCTAGCAGTCTACGCCCCCTTCTCCTCTTGCTAGCGATGATGCTGCTGCTGCTGCTGACGATGCTGCTACCGATGCTGCTGCCGATGCCGCTTCTTCTATTCTCTCGCCTCCCAAGACTACTCTTCCGAAGCTCCGGTCCTCACCTCGACGTTCGCGTACTATAAAGTCTTCTCCTCCCGCTCCTCCTTCTTCTCCTCCCATTCCATCCTCAAAAGGCAAGCGCAGAAGACGCCGTTCCTCGCCGATTCTAAAGAGACCTACCATGGGACTATTCCATACCAGACGTCACGCATAGTCATTGTGGCAAATTCTCTCTCTCTCTCTCTCTCTTCTTTCTTTCTATCAGCTATCTTGCATCAACTACTTTTCCCTATGTGCCTGTCTGGTATTCCTGTTCTTTGTTTTCTTTCTCATATCATTGCCTTCCTCTTCCTCTTCTCTTCTCTTCGATCATACTACCATATAGACATACGAGGGGAGCGCAGTGGCGAGGAGAGAAAGAGAGAGCAGGGAGGGGTCTCTAGATAGCTGGTCAACTTCCTCTGATTCCTTCTCTCCTCTTCTCTTCGTCCTGATGGCTATTGTGTGGAACAATGATTCAAGGGGAGAAACGCATGAACGGTTCAGAGCAGGATGCGGTACACGTGAAAACGAAATAATCAAGGCGCACGGGGGATTAACGATAATGGCCATGGAATTTTGATATAGGGCTTAGCCAGAGCCAAGTTGGCTACGATAATAATCATCTGATTCACGACCCTGCTTGAGTGATTGAATCGGGCCCTTTACACGAGCAGAGTGGTGATACCTTGACACAAACTACCTAGTCAGATGGCTCGTAGGCACCTAAATGGTCACTGCTAGCATATGACATTCAAGGAGGACGAGCACCCGATTCTTGGAAAGCATTCGATTTGTCTATCAAGCTAACGCAACCTATTCTTGTAGTCCCGGGTCCCGAAAAGTAATCAATCCCTCCACTAAACTTCATGTTCCGGGCATGTTTTTGATGGCCGAGTCTGTAACGCCACACTCTTGGCTGGCCTCTCTCTCTCTCTGCTCTTCTACTGTCCTGCTGGGCCAGAATGGTGTGCCACCCAATGCCGTCGATTAAAGTACCGTCCGACCAACTTTGCGTTGATGGAGAAGGGTGTAGGTAGGAGAAGATAATCCTTCATTTTCTGATTTTTTTTTGTTGATTTTCAACTGCGAATACATGGGATCCAGAGGACTGTTTCTTTATGGTCCGATTGCGCCGTGCCTTAGTCGTAGAGGTCGTCATCGTTGCCAGCGTCGCCAAAGGAGTTGCCAGCCTCGCCAGTGGCTCCCTCACCTGCCTCGGGGAACTTGAAGTAGGCACCTGGGCCGGCATTCTTCATCTGCTGAGCAAAGGCCTCATATCTGCGAATCTCCACGTCGCTGACGGATCGGCGAGCCATCTGCATGGCCTCCTCGAAGTGGGCCTTGGTCAGCTCGGGCACGGGGTCTTCAACTTCCTCGTCGACATCCATGTTGTCGCCAGCGGCCTCGCGGGCCTTCTGGCGCTCAATGTCGGCAGTGATGGCCTCCTTGATGGCAATCTTGACGGCGCGCTGGGTAATGAAACCCAGATCAGCACCCGAGAAGCCGTGGGTCTTGGCAGCGATGTAGCCAAGGTCGACGTCGGCAGCGACAGGAGTCTTGCGCAGCTGAGCCTTGAGGATGCTGAGACGGCCGGGCTCGTCAGGCAGGGGCACGTAGATGAGCGAATCCAGACGGCCAGGACGGCAGAGAGCGGGGTCCAGCTGCTCGGGTCTGTTGGTGGCACCAATGACGAAGACGTTCTTCTTGGAGGTCATGCCGTCCATTTCTAGCAAACGAGTTAGTAAGATGTAGGAGATGGTGTGAATGGGTTAAGTGACAAACTTACCAGTCAGAAGTTGGTTGACAACTCGGTCGGAGGCACCGCCGGCATCGCCCATGGAGCCACCACGGGCCTTGGCGATGGAGTCCAGCTCGTCGAGGAAGACGACGCAAGGAGCAGCAGCTCGGGCCTTGTCGAAGATGTCTCGAATGTTGCTCTCAGACTCACCGAACCACATGCTGAGAAGCTCGGGTCCCTTGACGGAGATGAAGTTGGCAGCACACTCGTTGGCGACAGCCTTGGCCAACATTGTCTTACCGGTACCGGGAGGACCGTAGAAGAGAACACCTCGGGATGGGGAGAGGCCGAACTTGAGGAACATCTCGGGGTGGTCGACGGGGTACTGGACGCTCTCTCGGAGGTCTTGCTTGACACCCTCCAGGCCACCGATGTCCTCCCAGCGGACGTTGGGAACTTCCACAACAGCGACCTCGCGGAGAGCAGAGGGGTTGGACACGCCCAGGGCGAATCGGAAGTTGTCCATGGTGACGCCGAGGGAGTCGAGGACTTCGGCATCAATGGTATCCTCGTCAAGATCGATGAGGTCCATCTTCTCACGAATCTGCTGCATGGCGGCCTCGGAGCAGAGGGCAGCAACATCGGAGCCGACGTAACCGTGAGTCTCGGCAGCGATCTGCTCCAGGTCGACGTCATCGGCCAGCTTCATGTTCTTGGTGTGGATCTGAAGAATCTCCAGACGGCCAGTCGGGTCGGGGATACCAATATCCACCTCGCGGTCGAAACGGCCGAATCGTCGCAGGGCCGGGTCGATGGAGTTGGGTCGGTTGGTGGCGGCCATGACGACGACGTTGGAGCGCGCCTTCATGCCGTCCATGAGAGTGAGCAGCTGAGACACGACACGGCGCTCGACTTCACCATTGGTCTTGTCTCGCTTGGGGGCGATGGAATCGATCTCGTCGATAAAGATGATGGCGGGCGAGTTCTTCTCAGCCTCCTCAAAGGCCTTTCGCAGATTCGACTCGGACTCTCCGGCCATCTTGGACATGATCTCGGGACCATTGATGAGGAAGAAGAAAGCGCCAGTCTCGTTGGCAACAGCACGAGCCATGAGAGTCTTACCGGTACCAGGAGGACCGTACAGCAAGACACCCCGAGGCGGCTTGATACCGATGGACTTGAACAGCTGGGGATGGCGAAGGGGAAGCTCGACCATCTCTCGGATCTGGGCCATCTGCTTGCGGCATCCACCGATGTCGTCATAGCCAACCTCGTTCAGGTTGTTCTCCTCCTCGTCGCGCTGAATAGGCTCGCCCTCGCAGTGGATGACGGTGTCCTGGGCAACAATGCCGTATTCCGGAGGATCCACCTCGACGACCTTGAATTCTACTTGTCTCATGCCGCCACGGACAATGAACAAGTCTCCCTGCTTGACCGGTCGGTAGGCTTCGCGGAAGTATGGGGCGAGGAAAACGTCAAAGAGGGAGCCAGTGAGGCCCTCGACGGTGTCGGCAATGGGGAGCACAGCGATTCGCTTGGCCTGTTTGAAGCGGTTAGATGCGCTGTAGCCTCGAGAGTGATGATGTCAGACAAACTCACATATTTGATATCGGGGCAGGGAGAAATGGTAATCATGTCGCCGTGCTTTACTCGCAGGTTGTGACGGACGACACGGTTGATTCTGGCGCTGCCCTCATCAAGATCCTCGTCGGCGAGGACGATGAGCACAGTCTCCTTTCTCTTCTTGCCTCGTACAAGGACGGTATCGCCACGGAAGAGCTGGAGGGCGTCCATGGTGGCCTCGGAGAGGGCGATGATGCTGTTGTCATCGTTGACGGCATCGGTAACCCTTGATCCCAGTCAGTATAGTAATCGATGCCGGCCACAGAGCGATAGAACCTACATCAGCTGGTTGGGCTTCTTCTTCTTCTTGAGAATGGCAGTGGCGGTGTCATCTTCCTGTCATCAAGTCAGTTTCCCCGCCCTGGGTATCTAAGCAAGGTGGGCTGAACGAACGTGCTTGACCTCCGCGCCGGAGGGATCGCTGCGAGGCGGTTAGATGTGTGTAATCTCCCAAATAAAGCTGTGAGGATATCCCCAGAGGCTGTACGTACGTCAAGTTGACCTTCTTCTTGTGGTCTTCAGGCTGGGAAGCCATGATGTCGACTGGGAGCTGTGTTCACGATGGAAGTGGGGTGAGAGCAAGCCCGCGGCCGGAGTCGATGGGAATCTGAACAAAAAGAAAGATGCGGATGCTTCCTCCTCAACACGGTTCTGCAGAGGACGGAGAGGGAGCGTTGGTTTATGAAGGTGGAAATCGCGGGAAGACGGTGATATGGAGGAGAGAAGGTTGCAAGCGGCGAAAGCTCGAGGTGTCCGGAGAGATCAGTTCCCTGAGCGATCTGGCACACAAGGCCTAACGAGTAGCCACACGCCCCCCGGAGCACAGAGGGGCACGGGCCAATCACAGCGCGCGCTGCCCTGAGCGGAGCGGAACATTGATGTTGCAGGGGCCTCTGAGCTGCGCTACCGGCTCGCTGTAATCTGGCGAGGCTGCGCTGTGGCCGCTGGACACAGTGGAATCTTCTGCCGTCTTCCACTGAGAGAGAGCGCCAGGCAACTGGGGACGCGCAACAGCTGCATGTCACGGTACCCGGCAGGTGCGGATCCATGCGCCCGCACGGCAGGTACCGGCTACAACGCCGACCTCCCCCGGCAGAGCATACGATGACGAGCTGCAGCCTGGAGAAGTCGATTAGGTTGGCATTTTGTAAGCAATTCAGTGTTGCCACAGGACTGGAGGCTTCTATCAAAGATTGTTTGCCTCCTGATATCGTGATGCTTGAATTTTCAATTCGACCATTTCGCCTTTGTATTGAGTCAGGGACTGCCTGTTGAGTGAAGCATACGGTACGATACATACAAACTTGGCCTTATTACCTTGATGTCCAGTCTTGTCGGCTCACGCCCGCTAACCCTCGATGAAGTCATACTTGTGCCTGCAGTGACTGAACCTCGGGTAGCTTGAGAGCAGCTCTACATTTCGCACTCCTGTCATTCTCCCAAGTACTAGTATGAAATGCCCTACTCAGCTGGGTGTGCAACTGGATTGACAGTCAAACTGAGATATGGACGCAAATAACAATACTCTTCTGCCCTCTGTGATCATTCTTAACCATTAGCTTGCTTATCGGCTACGTCTGAACTTGATTTACCGTAGCCCGACTGCCTCAAACATCTGACGCGCGTTTTCCAAAGGAAGGCTCCCACATACCTACCTAGTAGGTAATCGACCTGATAGGTATCTGCATGGACTGGTTTGAGACGTCAATTGAGTACCTAGGCTCAAGTCACCCTGCTCTAATCGAGTCCCTCACTGAAAAGATCTTGTTGGCTCTCCGTCGCTTGGTTTCATACCGCCTACCCTGCATCCATACTATCTAGGTAGGTGTGTAATCTTGAACGGCTGCTTGGAATTCTCCCATCAAGGGGCATCTCTTCATTCAGGTTTTACTATCCAAAGGCCATAAAAATGCTATTCGTTCTCAAATGCATTGTTGAGGTAGTTGACAAACGACTCCCTCAACGTATCGGCAGCCATGTTCGTCACCTTTTCCAACCCAATTCCACCCCTGTTGAGCGCCATGAAAGCCCTCCTATGCCTCTGCAGCTCCGGCAGCCCAGTCTTTCTCGTCGCCGGCAGCTCGACGACGAGCTCCTTCTTGCCACCACTGCTAAGAGGCACCTTGACCTCGCCGCCGCCATTGTCGCCCTGCTGATCCAGGATTCGCTTCACGATATCCTGCGTCTCGCGGTCTAGCACGTACAGGTAATCGCCACTTGCATCGCGCCCTCGCTGCTCCGTAGCCTGGTTCGGCTTGATGATTTTGCGACCATCCCCGGCGATGGCTTCCCAGAGCGAGTCAAACGTCCTCTTCACCTGCTCCTCGTCGTCCTCCCATATAATTGTGAACAGCGGGCTGTCCCAGCGGGTCATGGGATTAGGCTCCTCGTGCCGAAAGACGAGGTTCTCCCAGTTCGCGGGCTCGTACGGCTCCGCAGTGTCGCCCGATGCATCATCAGCGCCCTCTTGGTCAGATGCAGATGCTGCAGCAGCCTGGCTTCGTTTCAGCCTGGCCTCATTGACCTGCTGCGCGCGCTCCTTTGTGCACCCAATCTGCAATATGCAGCTCGGCGTCCGAACGGCCTTTGCCTCGCAGTGCAGCTGGTACCGCCAGCCCTTGATGTAGTTGAGGCCATCGAGAATGACAATGTCCTTGTCGCTCAGCACCCTCTTGACAGCGCCGTAGATGGCGGCCCGGGCATCTTTTTCGCTCGCGTTCGCCGATCGCGTGTGCACCGGCACTGTGGAGAGGTCGTAGACGGATCGCGATATTGAGAGGGAGTCGTCTGATATCAGGTGCAGCCGGTACTTTGTCCCGGCGATGCGCGCGGTGAGGTAGTCATGTAGTTGCTTCGCCCGCGTCGACTTGCCCGACGTCGGCAGGCCCGTGAGGATGATGAGCTGGAGAGCGGCGCGTGAGACGTTAGAAACATGAATCTCTCTTGGTGACAATGTGCTTGCGCGCAAAAACTTACGCAGGGAGTAACGTACGTACCGGCATCTTGTTGCCGAATTCAAGCTGATTCTGGGGGAGTCTGCGATGCTGTCGCAACTGCAGCTGGTCATCTAAGGTAGCATGTGTCTTGTCATGGTGGGGGTTGGGCAAAGATTTTTGTGTGGCAGTACTCGTGCTTCATTAGTGCTCTTGGTGCTGGAGACGTCACCGCTCGACTCAACTCGACTCAACTCAAGTCGAATCTCGACGGCTGCCTCCATTAATCTGTCGGTCTGGAACATCATCAACTGCTGCCACTGGATTAATTAAACTTCTTACTCGGGTACACCGTCCACCATATCACAGAAAAAAACTAATACTAGATGCACACGAATCATGGCACCCTTTTGAACCAAGCCCAGCTTCGCAGCATGCAAGCCAGCGCAGCATCTCCTGCACCGCCTCTCTCAAAACGCCCATTCCATTCGAGCAGGATTCACAGCCTGGACCCCAGAGTCGGCGCGTCGGCAGGCCGGAGCACCGACAGACGGGGACCCTAAGCGAGGCTTAGTAAGTCGGCTACAGCTAAAACGTTGGAGGCTAGGGCGCCGAGAGAGAGATCCTGAGAGATGGCGCTGTTCCTCATGCGGTAATTCATTCAACGCGGCCAATCAGGTGTTGCTGTTGCGGTTCCTGTGCCTGGAGCTTCATGATGGAGATGCCCCCAGGGCTGATGAGGCAGGTTGCGTGTAAGGCGTCTGGCGACGATGGGACTCGAGCAAAGGGGCTGCAACCATAGAGCAATTGCTCAATGATATTCTTGCTACTATTCAGCCTAGCCGTGTGCCGGTAGCCGTAGCGTTCATGAGGATGGAGAGGCTTGGAGAGAGGGTTGGTTGGCGATGCGAAAAGGTTATAAACTCGAGGGTTTCCTGCGTCTTGTGTTGTTCAGAAGCACTTTTACAGCATCAGCAGACTCTCAAAGACAGTCTCAACCATTCTTCAAGAACAACCAAGAGTATCTTCGGAGATATCACTTGTTGAAGAAAAAAAGCATACCCTTGCGGAACGTTCCTGAACCTTGCCACTGCTCTTATTCCGACTTACACATACACGGCTCAACCCCTATCCCCTAACAACACAATGGCCCGTTCCCTCGAATCATACGACGACATCGCCATCGCCGAACTCTCCTTCTACACGTTTGCCCTCTTTGGCGGCATCTTCCTCTGCCTCAAGCATGGCTTCGCCAAAAACGCCGGCTTCAGGGCCCTCGTCATCCTCTCCCTCGCCCGCATCATCGGCGCCTCTCTCCGCCTCGCGACCATCTCGTCCCCGAACAACATCGACCTGTACATTGGCTGGATGACGCTCGAGGGCATCGGCCTGGCGCCGCTCATCATGCTCTCTCTCGGCCTCCTTTCTCGCGTCTTTGTGTCGATCCAGAGCAAAGGACGGATCCTCATCCGGCCGCAGCACCAGAAGTTCATCGAGCTGCTCATGCTGCTGGCCATCATCCTCCTCATCGTGGGCGGCACCCAATCCAACTTCACCGTCGTCGACGGCAAGCCCAAGGTGGAATACTCCACAATCAGCCACGCCGCGCTGGGCATCCTCATCGCCATCACGGCCCTCCTCGCCTTTGCCATCCTCCTCGCCGTGCTGAACCAGAGCCACGTGGGTGCGGGCGAGCACCGCATCATCTTCACCGTTGCCGTCTGCTTCCCGCTTATCGTCGTCCGCCTCACGTACTCGTGCCTCATCATCTTTGGCGGCATCACTTCCAGTGCCGCGCTCTACCTCGGCATGTCCTCCCTCATGGAGATGATTGTCACGCTCGTGTCGGAGGTCCTGGGGTTCAACTTGGACAAGGCGATGCCGCAGCCGGTGCCCAGAAGCGACGAGGAGATGCAAGCTTTCGGCAGTAAGTAGGAGAAGACTGTTTCGAGAGAGATGGGCGGGTGTCTGCGTTTGATGGGATGGGTTATATACTAAGGGTGAATTTGAAAAAAAGGTTATCATAGGACGAGCGCGGAACGGCAATGGGATTACTAGAGTGTTCAATACCCCCCTTTTGAGGTCTGCTTCGGGATATCTTGGTAGAAGAGTTTGGATGTGATTCAGTCTTTGGCGGATATGTGCGTTTCTCTATGATAGATTAGTCTCTAGTTCTTCATCTAACATGTGTCATTTTCTCTTCCGTCAAAGCCCATCGTGCCTTGAGTGTATAAAGACCAGGTCTCGAAGTGGTATACGCGTGTAAATCCAATAACAAATCGCAACAAAAGCAATATGATGCCCATGTATATCCAGAACCAGCAGGAGGGCATTGCTTCCGCGACACGTCTACATGACCGCACAGCAAGCCTTCTCCAGCTTCCGCAGCAGCAGAGGGATAAGACCCTCCGCCTCCTCCTCGGGATACTCCTCCTGCGGAGGCCGATGCTGGGGAGGTCGATGATGCTGCTGCCCGCCATGGGGCGGCTTCGACGGCTTCGGCGGCGGAACCGGCTCCCCGCCCTGCAGGTTGATGTAGATCCGGCCGTCGTTGTCCTCGGTGCCGTACTGCAGCCCCAGCTCGCGGCACAGCTCCTCGACCTTGGGCTTGAGCTTCTGGACGTGGTTCGCCGAGTGGTTGCCCCGGCCGACGATGACGTGCAGGTGCGTCTGGCCGCGGGCCTGGTCGGCGCGGATGCGCTGCTCGAGGATGCGCTCCGCCTCCTCGACGAACTGGCCGTGCAGGTCGATGCTGTCGGGCTCGACGCGGCCGGGGGCGTTGTTCTCGCGGAAGATGTATTCGGACGCCTGGCGGTTGTACTCGCGCATCTTGGCGTCGTGCGCCTTGCCCTCGTTGGAGAGGGCCTTTGCCCTGGCGCCGTCGCCGTCTTCGTATGCGCGGCGGCTCTGGAGGGGGGGGGGGAGAAATCCCGTCAATGTCAGTCCGTTGGGTACTTTTTTCTTTTCTTTTTCTTCTTTCCACCGCTTTGTGTGTGTTTTCATTCTGATATCGAGGGCTGGGCGGTGGGTTTTTTCAACGTACACGCTCGAAGCAATCGTTGCGCTTGTTGGCCTCGGCACGGGCCAGATCGCGCAGGCGGTCGTACTCGCGCTCTACATCTGCGTTGTCCTCGTGGGTAAAGGCTGTGTGATTTTGTTCCTCTCGATATCAGCAGGTTGTGCCAGACAAGCGCCTCTCACCGTAAGTATAATGCAGAGAGGGCGCTTTGAGGCTTGTTCTTGACCAGCGACTCACCGCGATTGCCCAGCCGCGTCATAGGAATCGACATCTTTGCGTCTCTCTGCCAGTGCTGATCCAATCTTCACCTCTTCATCCAAAGCATGAGTGATATTACTCCAAGTTGCAGCAGCAAAACAGAGAAGAAGAAAAACAAAATGAGACGCCGTTCACGAGAAGTATAATGCTCCCCTAGACGGAAACGTTCAGTGTTCAAATGTGCAATGTTTCCCATCCAATGGCTCCCAAAAGTTGGGCGCTTGCAGAAAATGTCATCCAGCTCGCGGCTGATTGGAGAATCGCCGGCCAGTCGGGCTGGAACCCGAACCAGCCACATTCTGGAGGGAAATCGGGGAGTAGGCGGCAGATCCGGCGCCTCCACCGCAGCGCGATTCACATCTGAGAGCGTTGAATCTGGCGCTTGGGTGGCTTTGCGGCCGGACATCGTCATTGACGCTGATTCTGGGGTGGCTTGTGATTGTTTTACGCATCTCTGACGTATCAGACGCTGCCTAGGTACCGAAGGTCAAGAACCTTCTGGGTGAAGCACGGCTCTAGCTGAAGGTCTTACCTCGATTGTATACTTGCCATGTACTTTGGAGGAACCCTTTTGGTTCTTAACTACTACCTACGTACTACCCTGATGCTGACATTACATGCAGCCTGTGATGTTTAGCTCTATACACAGGGCTTCCGATGACGAGTGAAGTGTCGAGATACCCTGTGATTGATCCCTTCTCAACTGCAAATTCCTATGATACTTTGTTCTATTAACCACACCGCTAAAGAGCCAAGGCTCGGTACTACAGACTACATGTACAGACTACATGTACCTAATCTACGGAGTATCAAGGCCTTGGCGCATACAATCTAATCAGAAGAAACGGAGATTGCAAGAACAACTGCTTTCAAAAGCCCAATCCACAAGCCATCGCAGAGTGCATCCTACAGCCGTAGGTTGACATGCGCACACCAGGATCTGATACAGACCATTGATCGAGTTCTTGTCGAGCTTCTGCAATTGCTCGGACAAGTCCGTAGTATTACTTACCTGCACGGGGCACATCTCATTTTGGCTACTAATCATGGCTCGAGTTAGTAGTACGATGTAATATACAGAGCGGGAGCCTCGTGAGATTGATCCCGATGGACTGAGATCTCCACGTGGATATTGTCTGTCATGAAACGTGCGAAAAGGGCTGAGGAGCCTTGTCCAGAGAACTCACATGGGCCGAAGCAGAGATGCCTCGGCAGGGCGAAGAAGACAAAAGTCCCCTGACTTATTGCACCTGGTTCCCTGTCTCGCTTTGGAATGGCATGGGCTTCTACTATTACTACTCAGTACGTAGTGGACTTGTTTCCAATGACAAGCTGCATGAAGTTCAAGGAAAACCCAAAACCCAAGACACTGAAGCAGGCATCTTCTCCCTTTAAGAGGAAGCAAGGGTGATGCCAGGCTCATTGGCTTCAATACGAACGTCAGGTATTATTACGAGTAGCTGGACTAATAGGTAGGCATGAGACCGGCATCCTGGCCAAGGCTGCTGGAGATCGCGGACGGATTGTTCCAGGGTAATTTCCAGATGCCAACATGGAAGCGGCTGTTGCCATGCTGGTGGCGTCTCTCTCTCTCTCTCTCTCTCGCCATTTTACTCGGCAGGTTTTGGGGCTGCTCTCATGTTTCGCCGGAAGGATTGAAACGCATCTCGTCGGGATTCCGCCACATCGCCTGGCCCGGCATTTCCAATTGCCGTGCCTGCAACTCGATGTCACTGAGCGACAACTGAGCGGTATGTAATGAAATGCTGCAACATCAAACATCACCGAGACCTGCCGCGGAATTCCGGCACACTTGATTGTTTGATCAACCGTTTTGTGCCGTCGGCCGCATGAATTACAAGAGTCATGTTCCAGTCGCAAGTGAGGTGCGATCACACGATGATCACTATTGCCATTTCGGTCGACGAGTACATACATACATACTGTAAGGCCCGTGTCGTCGTCGACAAGCCATATGGGAGTGCAAACACCAGCGGATCTACGGATACAGACCAATCGAGCTCTGGAAGCCGCCTGTAAAGCCCATGAACCGTCGTCAGCGGACGAGCGCTGCAAGGCACAGTGTAGGATCACAAGGATCGCTGCGCCCTTTGCAATCGCTGCATCTAGGATGTGCACGAAGGATTCTTGCTGCTCTGACAGGATATGCAAGGCAGCACATGTGCTCTGTACTGCGTCCGCACAGACGCGACGCCGTAATCAAGTCGAGCTTCCATGGCGTTGCATGGCCCAGGCCCGTCATCTCCTGCAGCGGCTGGCCCCGGTTCAGGGGAGGCATGACTGAACGGTTGGAGCTGTGCGCGCGCGCTTGTCGATTGAGGGATGCCTCGTCCGCCCTTGATGGTAAACGGCATCGATCTAGTAGTAATACAAGTAGTAGACGCAAGGAGAGGAGCTGCGAAATGCACTCACGCGCGAGAGTCCTGTAGAGGTTGTCAATGCCCAACAGCCAACAACATGAAGTTGGTGGCGCCAACAGTTGATCGACTTCGCTACATATACTGTCTTTGAGCGACCAGCAGCGGAATTGGCTGTTCAACCGCCTCTCCGGCGCCAAGCAAGGCGAGCGGGCGTGGTCTTTCGGTCAACGAGGCATTCAGATGATGGATCGTGAGCGACGGCTAACAGATTGTTATTACGACAAGCAAAAGCTGCGTCGTATCGGCAGATGTACGGGACTCGTCAAGGTAGTGTTTTGTCTTTTGTTGCCCAGAAGGTTCTCGTACGAGCAACTGTAGGGATCCCAGAAGTGCGTGTAATAGCGGCAAAGGATTGAAGTGAGTGATAGGTATGTAATTGGATGCTTCATCGCATGTTCACAAGGAATGAGACAATGTCCCTATTCAACCCGCCTCCTGGCATCCATTGTGTAAGAGGCTCCCTACTTCAGCCCCGTCTCGTTCAAGCCTTGTAAAGTGTGAAGAGACCCAACAGGTAGGAGTGAAATTCCCGTTCGAGTATGAATATGTTGTACCTGCAGTAGGTACTAGGTAGTCGACAAGGCCGGTCGGTCAGGCTGTGGAGCGAGCCAACATGAGGGCTGCTAGCGATTCGGCGCAGATGAGCGCTCAGACAGAGTCAAGCAAGCAGCAGGCGGCGGCGTTTTGGACCTGCGCCTGTAACCATGGCGGCAATGGAGACCTGTGTCCAATCTGTATGTACGTACGAGTGCTATCAATACCCCAGGAGGGGATCTGGTGCAGTACTGTAGATGGAATTGAGCACCAATCGTCGACGTAGGACTCGAGGATAGTCGGCTAACTGACTGTTGTTGGCCATTGTCGTACCCCGCGGAATGCTGCTGCTGCCCCGTCCTCCGTACTTCGTCTGCAAACGAGAAAAAGAGCGAATTGTTTGGTTGGTTGCGTAAGATAGGTACGAACGAGCATGAGATGGATGGATGCATGTATGTATGTACGAGTATTATGGCGTACGAGTATGATAATACATCATCACACCGCGAAAGGCACGAAGCCTCAGCAGGGCGGACGACAGCTGAGGTTGCTCGCTGGTAGCCGCCCCGTATGTATTACTCGCTGCTAGGGGGGAAATCGAACCAGTTGGTCCCAGAATGCCCCCCCAACTCTGGTAGCACCGAGGAGCAAGGGGGATACGAATGTGCGAGGAAGAGGGTACATGGTGTCAAACCGGCATGATCTCCCCTCTTCTGCTGCTCTTCGCGTGGCACGACTGGCTCAGACCCCCCCCTGGATCTGCTCTCAAACAGCGGCCAGTTTGCGTCAGATGCTGCCGCTCAATGCCGTGCCAGTGTTTTGGATATTTGCCGCCTCAACACCCAGGCCGCTGTATGTATCAGCCTCCTCTGCTTGCCCTGTCCTCTCCAGGTAATATGGGCTGGATGGACCTGTTTGTCCGGTGAAGACAGTGGCGTTTACTGGGCCTTTGGTGCTGCTGCTGCTCGGCTCGACGCAGGTGCTCACATGCAATTTAATACTCGGACATGGGCGCAGATGGACTAATGCACCTCCCGTCTGATTAAAAGCTCCGTAGTCTTGCTCCGTACGATGCTGGAGCTGGATTTGCTTGTACGACGGACGACAGGCGCCATGTGTCGCGGATCGGAGGAGCATGATTGCCTCTGCAAGTAGGTAACATCTTGTGTCTCGCAAATTGGCGGTCATCGTACACGAGTATGTAGTAGTAGACTGGAGACTACTACCATCGCACAAAAGGACGAAGCAGCAGCAAACAGGGCTGTATCACCTTCGCAACCCATGTGCGCAAGACTCGTCTGATGTCTCCTGCTCGGAGGACTCCGTGATATCGCGCGGGGTGCGGTCGAGTCCAAGCGTGCCAAAACCGTTGTTGATCTGGCAATGGAACGGAGTAACAGAAGCCAATAAATTTGTTCGAGAAGCCTCAAGGCGACGCGACTAACGATGGTCCAGGTCGCCTGCACGGAGCAGACACAGCACCTGTACAAGCATGTTCCTGGTCGGGGATGCCCCCCTGGTCCCTTGAGTCTCCGCTTTGCAGGAGATGAATCTGCTGCCCTGGCAGAGGATGGAAGCCATTCTGGCGATCGTCAGTGATTGCGGCGGACTTGGATTCGTCCTTGTTCATCCTGCGAGGCGATGATATGCAGGATTGTTTCGGCATCTTGACAAATCAGAGAGAGGAGGAGGAGGATGAGGAAGAAGAAGAACTCGGGAAGGAAGACAGACCCGGCCCGTGCGAGGGTACCGGGTAGAGAGAGAGGCAAGATGACGCAGCAAGCAACAACAAACCTAGGTAGTAGACTATACAGTACTTCATTGAACAAGCTGCGGCCTGGCAAACGGACCATCAGCATCGTCAACGTTGAAATTGGCCATGGGGGTCGCGATGCCTTCCCCTTGCGCGCCAGAGCACCAACCCGCCAGGGATCAGGCCCTTTTCCTCCAGGGATCTCCTGGTCGCCCGCCTGCTTGCTCTAGGACCGTCGTCTCCACCACCGCAGCTCGACTCCCACCCTGATTCCTGGGCTTCCCGACGCTCTCAGTGGCCCAGACCAGGGGCGCCATTGAGCCGGCTAATGGTCGAACCCCCCCGTTCGTGCCAAATTGAGCATCCTGGAGTCCATGTGCCCTCATGATTGGCCGCTTCACCAAGATGAGTTGAGGCACTTGGGACATTAAAAAGTGCAGGAAAGGGAATACTAGTATACTAGTAAGGCGATGCTGACCCGCGTAATAAGAGGTAGTGCGTGCATAAGGTAAGGGCTCAGGTTAGTTGTACGGAGTGCGGCAAGGCAAGACGTGCAGACGACTCGTACCGATACATGGCGAGAGAGGCTGCCATCACAGCACCAGGTTGACCTCACAAGTTCCAACAGTCAGCCTGACATGCGTTCGAGCCTTCTGTTGTCTGGCGCCCCCATCCATCCAATGATCCTTTTTGCTGCTGAGCCGCGTGGCACCGCACTGCAGCCTGGCCGTGATACTCGCTGCTCTCTGCGTTGCGCCGGAGCCATCACGCAACGGGGTCTCATCAGACTGCATGATTCGTCGCCTGCTCCGGCCGCATATGAGCGAAGGTGAGGAGGTGAGGCTCTCGCCAGCGGCGGCCAGCACTGGCCTGCCTTCCCATGCGGTCGCTGAAATTAACCATTATGCTGCCACTTTGTCCACCTGCGACTCTCGACCGATAGCAGCACAGTGCGCGCCACTGGCCCCGTGCAGCTCCAGCGCTCGATCGGGCATGCAATTAAAGCAGCATCATGTATCTCTGGAGATCCCGGCCAAGCCACCCAGAGGTACCGACCTGTGCGTCCTTTGCAGCAGCTCCCGCAGCTTGAGCAGACGCCGGGTACAGCTTTACGACCAGGACGGCGCGGGAGCGGGTACAGGTACGCGCCCCAGACACACGGGGCGGGCCAAGTGTCGGCGGCGACGCGCACCGTGTACACGCGCAGAGGGAGATATACAGTGCGAATGCATCCTCCTCCCGCGCGCATCACCGCAGCCATGCACCGTGCAGGTCCACTGGTTCGGGCTGCTGCGTGCCCTTGGCCCCCGTTATAACGTGACGGCTCCTCGCAGCGCGCTCCCTGCCTGCAGCGGCGGTGGAGCCACTGAAGCTCCAGCTCCAGGCCCCCGAACCCGCCCAGACAGACCCCGGCGAACCCTGGGCATCTCCACAGTTTCCAGGGCGGATTCAGGTACGGTGCAGCGCAAGTACAGCGGCGCTCCCTTTTCGCGCAGCGCTAGTACAAGTACTCGCAGGCGTCCCCAGCAGGTCCCCAGCAGGTACCGCCGCCAGAGGCCCCCTACGGCAATAGTACCAGCCGCAGGCCGCCACTATACCTGCGCGAGTACCTGGCCCTGCTGCTAGTAGCAGACCCGTTGCCCAGCTCTCCTGCTCGGCCATTCCCTTTGCAGCAGGGCCTCTCTTCTACATCCTCCCCCAGCCGCTGCTGCTGCTTTGCTGCTGCTCCTCCCCCCCCCGAATCTCCATTTCCGTCGCGCATCTCATTTCACACGAACGCCCAAATCTGCGTCTTCCACACCTGCGCACCAACTCCCTTCCTTGGCCATCTTCTCTTCTCTCCTTGCGGTTTTTGTTCGTGTCTGCCTTTGAACTGCCCGCCATTGGCATTTCATTCCTCGCCTAGCAGGCCGTCATTCTAGTAAGCATATCCCTCTCTCTCTTCACTCCTCGACTCCCCTTCTCTCTCCTTTCCCGCTATTTGTTCTATTTGCTTTTTTCTTGTTCCTGCCAACCCCGAAGGAGCCTCGCTTCCACGTTGTCCTTGTCTCTATTTTTATTTTTTTTCCCTCTCTGTGTGGCGTTGCGGATAGGGCTTCATCAATCGCGACTGCGCTTTGCAGCTTCCTTCGACCTTCAGCCGTCCACCTTTGTCTCGTGAGCGACACTGACGCGAATCCTCTCACTGAGCTGCTTGCCGTTGACGCTTCCGCGCGTGCACCGTCGCGATTGCCTCTAGCCGTTCGCAGGCGCCAGCGTTCAATTTCTGCGACGAGCCCCTGACTAACCCAGAACTCCTCTTCGACAGTAATCAGCTTTCCGCACCACTACTGGCGACTTCGGACACGTAACATACGCGGATCATTCATTTTCACCTCATTATAATTTTCTCTTTCCTAGTCGATTTATATTCAGTCTACCATTCACAGTCGCCAACATGGGTTGCGGAATGTCTACCGAGGACAAGGAGGGCAAGGCCCGGAACGAGGAGATTGAGAATCAGCTCAAGCGGGACAAGATGATGCAGCGCAACGAGATCAAGATGTTGCTTCTGGGTATGTGCCATGTGCCGCGGCCTCGCAGCCATCTGCTCTTCCGTCCCAACTCCGCGAGGAACGCGACCCGACTAATGATCCATCCAACGAATGACAGGTGCTGGTGAATCTGGAAAGTCAACCATTCTCAAGCAGATGAAGCTGATCCACGAGGGCGGCTACTCTCGCGACGAACGCGAGTCGTTCAAGGAAATCATCTTCAGCAACACGGTCCAGTCCATGCGCGTCATTCTCGAGGCCATGGAGTCTCTCGAGCTGCCCCTCGAGGACCAGCGCATGGAGTACCACGTCCAGACCATCTTCATCCAGCCCGCTCAGATTGAGGGCGATGTCCTGCCCCCGGAAGTCGGCGGTGCCATCGAGGCTCTGTGGAAGGATCATGGTGTGCAGGAGTGCTTTAAGCGATCTCGCGAATATCAGCTGAACGACTCAGCAAGATAGTAAGTTGTTGTCCCCCAGCCGACGCCGCGAAAGCGCATGCCATCGCATATATACTCACCTCTTGGCAACCAGTTACTTCGATAATATCGCGCGAATTGCCGCTCCCGACTACATGCCCAACGACCAGGACGTCCTCCGATCACGTGTCAAGACCACCGGTATCACCGAGACGACATTCATCATTGGCGACCTGACCTACCGCATGTTCGACGTCGGTGGCCAGCGATCTGAGCGAAAGAAGTGGATCCACTGCTTCGAGAACGTCACCACCATCCTCTTCCTGGTCGCCATCTCCGAGTACGATCAGCTGCTGTTCGAGGACGAGACGGTCAACCGAATGCAGGAGGCCTTGACGCTCTTTGACTCCATCTGCAACTCCAGGTGGTTCATCAAGACGTCCATCATTCTCTTCCTCAACAAGATCGACAGATTCAAGGAGAAGCTGCCGGTCAGCCCGATGAAGAACTACTTCCCCGACTACGAGGGCGGCGACGACTACGCGGCGGCGTGCGACTACATCCTGAACCGCTTCGTCAGCCTGAACCAGCACGAGACGAAGCAGATCTACACACACTTCACCTGCGCCACCGACACCACCCAGATTCGCTTTGTCATGGCGGCTGTCAACGGTATGACATGGGCTACACCTCCTCTTTGTTATTGGTTCAATCTCGACTAACAATCTTGTGCTAGACATTATCATCCAGGAGAACCTTCGCTTATGCGGTCTCATTTAGACGACTTGTTGATTGTTGTTTTCTTTTTCTATCATATGTTCACTTTTTTTTTTTTAAGACGCACGAATACCCTCAAACTCGATTACGACCGCCACCAGATGGGCCACGGAGATACGGCTCATGATCTTGATTGTTCTCCTTGCGCCAGCGAGACACGAAAGCCAGCTCAAGGAACTTGTTCTTTTTTTCTGCGGGCTTCTCCTTCGCAATCTTCGACTGTCCTAGATAATGGTATTATTTTCTAAAGCTAAGACTCTATGGCGAGCATTCGGCATTCTGCAAGACTTGTGAGAGCTATTACAAGGATTGTCGGCAAGATGCTGTGTATCAAAACGAAATCTTCTCTTGTTCGTTTCCGAAAAAGGAAGACGCTGTGGCCACACGTCGTTTGTGAGGAAGGGGGAGAAGAGGCCGTCGGGGGGGAGAACTGGGAAAACGGCGTGGCAGCTCATGGAAGAAGGGAAACTACTTACATCTGACACGATGGTGCGAATGGGCGGCGGCCATTTACTTTGTTTAATTATGAAACCACACATTTTTTCTCTCTTTTCTCTCTCTGTCTCTGCGGCCTGTCATTGTTTTCAACAAAAAAGTGTGTTACTTTTTTCATGTATCCAAGCTCCAGTTTTTTGTTTCCGCATATTCATTGTCTCTTGTCAAGCTATGTTAATGTGCCGTCGCCCTTTTTGACCGTGGTTTTCTCTTCTCCCCTTGGCTGACATTTTCCTCCTTTCTGCTTCATGTCTTGTTGGTGCTGTGAGTCAAAGTCATGCGTATGGAATCTTTGCGCCTTGCATTCTTCTCTTTTAACTATTTCCTCTTTTTAACACTTTTGGTTTCTTTTCTCATCTTTACTCTTATTATTACTTGAATTCTTGTGCGTGGCAAAGTCGATGGAGGGAACATGGGATATGAGGACATTGGGTAGGTAGGTAGGTAGGTAAGGGGGGGAAGGAGGAGGATGTTCTATAAGCATTGGGGTAGGTGTAAAATTGTCTTTTATATTCTTGTTCTTTCTATTCATTTTATTTTTCTTCGTCTTGATTTTCATGGTAATTAGTTGTTTTTCTTCGTCTTGATTTTCATGGTAATTAGTTGTTATGATTACAATAATTTTAACGCTCTGTGGCTCCTTTTGTGACGTTGGGCTTTTGGTGACATTGGCCCTTTTCCGTGGTTGATGTTGATGTTCCTGTGATGAGACGTTCTATGTGATTGTGATTATGCTCCTCTTGGAAAGCCCTGGGTAAAGTCGAAAAGAAAACGTCAACACGTTAACTAGTGGTTTCCAGAATATACGCTCGAAGAATTCGTTATAACTACATTTTCATACATCCTTGCATGATCATCACAAGGAAAAGTATGGAACTTATAGAGTTGATGACTACTTATCAAAGAATAGAAAAGCCAAATGGGTATTCGCATGTCCTATGGGTTGCCTAACCTAGCCCCCAGCATAGAACGGGGGTATATATCCTCTCATGAGGGGGGAAAATAAGAAAAGAAAAGCAATGGATTTGCTCCGACTTCTGCCCCTGGATATGCATCAAAAACTCGTGACCAAGATTTTCCTAACTTCATCAATAGCAACAAGAACCTTGAAGAGAAAAAGAAAGAAAAGAAAATGCCCAGAGCCCTGAAAGTCAAAACCAAGTGGTAGAACCCAAGATGAAGGTGAAGAAAAAAAAATGAAGAAGCGCGCAAAGCTTGAGTTGCCAGGGACCAAATGTCTGTGAATGTGTTATGTGATCACGAATATGGTGTAGACAAGACGTGGGATCAGAGTCTCCAATATCTCTTTCCCGGAAGTGCGATACCGAAATAGCAAGCATCCAGAATGCGGCGATTTATCCTTGGGTATATAGAACGGACTAGAGCAGTACGCAGATTTCGAGCTCGCCCGGTGGCTCGGCTTTGGCTTGATATGGCAAAGAATGATGTGTCAGTTGATCACCATCTGCTAAATATGTTAGTATTGGAAGGGACTGGTGGAATCTCGGGCATGAAATACCTGTCAGATGGGAGTGTGCTGGCTGAAAAAAGAGCTGATAAAGTAGTAGTCGTGATGTTTGAGGTAACCCTTTTTTCCTGTTTATTTTCCTTCCCCCCTTATTTCCATGCTTTCATCAAGCAGGAAAAGCAGAGGATGAGCGCAGAAGAGCTCATTTCAGACGCCCATCCCAAGGAGCATCCGCCATGGTAATCTCGGTAGCCTGAGCATAGGCAGTCTGGGCCCGCTCCCTGTCAATGGCGGCGTTCTGCTCGGCGACGCCCTCGGGAGTCCTCATGTACTCCTCGTATTCCGCAATGCGCATGCCGAGCTCCTTAGCAGCGGCCTCGATGCGCGCCAGAAAACGCTCCCTCTTGGAGAAGGTGGCGACGTCGGTGATGGTCTGGGTGATGAGCCGCTTGGTCGAGTCCGACAGGCCCCAGTGGTGGACGTCGACGGAGAGGCTAGGGTTGGGCGGCGGTGGAGGGGGCGCCTGAGAGAGCGAGGCGAGGATGCTGGCCCCCGAGGCGGCGGCGGCGGAGTTGGTCAACAAGGCCTGCGGCATCGGATGGTTGTTCTCTACTTGGGATAATCAGCATTGGAATGACGTGGAGGGAGCTGGTGACGGATCATGTCGCTGAGAAGGAGGGGGGGTAAACAAGGTGAAGCAGGTGAAAGAAGGATGAGATGGAGACGAGGTAAACAAGGAACGAAAGCAAGAGTAAACAGACACCGGCCTCCCCTCCCCCTTTTCCATCCAAACTCACCATGAAACGTGCATCGGGAGCCGCTCGCGTTGAACCAGCAGTTGGTGCAGCTGCCGCACATCTGGCCCTCGTAGACGATGCACTGCGACCACGGGCCGTGGCCCTTGCGGCAGTTCTTGCACGGGTTGGGCGCCGGCTGGCCCGTCATGTGGGCGAGCAGGGCCTCGACGTTGCTGCGGCGCTCAATGTTGAGCTTCTGGTCGGCGCGGCGCTGGACGGGCTCGCGCAGGGCGGCCTCGGAGGCCAGCTTCTTGCACAGGGCGCTGTCGATCTTGACGAGGTCGCCGTAGGCCGCGTAGGCGATGTCGGCGGCGGTGCGGGCGCGGTAGGCGGCGCAGGAGAGGTGCTGCAGGGAGGCGTCGGGCTGCGAGCCGTCGGCGGAGCGCAGAGGCATCTTGGGGGGGCCAATGGCCAGCATGTTGACGGACGGGCTTGGTGTTGATAGGTAGCTGTAGAGGTGAGCTTGGAGATGGGATGTCACTGGTTGAGCTTAGCACAGGTGAGGTCAGGTACCTCTATGCCTGTTGTGGTTCAGTTCAGTTCAGCTGGTCCAAGCTATGGAGGTAACAGAGGTGGCATGTGGGGCACTGCATGACCTAAGCAGTGATGGTTGCCCAGCACCTCAGTGCAGCTTCATGCTGGGCCAGCACGGCAGTTCAGGAGCTTCACGCCTCTATTTCAGATTGGTGTTATGAATCTGCTGTTTTGCATGCTAGGTATTATTGCTGGCTGAAGATAAAGTGTGAAAACATCGTGAATTTTCGATGCTATCAGTATTACACTCAGCCAATGTTGCTCTATGCTTCTTGTATATCAACCTTTATGTGTCTCCCAATCCTCACGTTCTGGCATTCAGGTTGCTGGGCTGCTCCCATATTCCCTGGCCTCGGCCTTCGGTAATCTCCTTCCACCGCTCCGCAAACTCCCTCAAGCCACCCTCGCCCGCCAGACTGGCATCCACAACCTCCTTTGGAAGCTTGTGAGCCGAGTACTGAGGCGAGCTGAAGTTGTAGGCCTCTGGGTCGTTCTTCCGGACGATGCGAATCTCTGGCTGGCGATCCGGGCTATACTCGTCTCCCGCCTCGTCATCCGTCTCATCTGCCGTCTCTCCCCCGCTTCCATCTGCTTGATCCTCAGAAACGGACCCGTACAGCGGATTCTCGGGCTCCATGGTAAGAAGCTCCTCCCATGAGAACAGCAGGCTGTCCGTGCTGGGAGCCCATGGATTAATGTCCATGAGCCTCACCTTGCCCAAGCCATCCTCGGCAAAGGTGTTACCAGGTATGTAAATGTCAAAGGCAAAGCAAGGATCGGGAAACGTCAGCCTCAGCTTCTGATAAAAGAACGTCCTGATCTTCTTCCACAGCTGCCCTTGAAGCCTTTCCAAAAAGTCGTAATGGTTCAAATCTCGTTGCGTGATTCCGATGAGCGAACGGTTCTTGACGAAACACCTAAATTCCAGGGCAACGTGAGGTGTGAAGAAAGGCCTGAGAACGAGAACGGGCTTGAAGGGTCTCGCCGGTGGAGTATCCGTGCAGTCGTCGAATGCATGAAGAAGATCATGTGACACAAACGAAGACGACTTCAAGAGGAGGTAGATGTCGTTCGGGGTTGTGCACTTGAGCGTGTTTTGATGTGGCGAGATCCATTTGGCATCCTTGGGGGACGACCAGTTGAGCTTTGGCGCAACGGCGCCGCCGAGCTCAGCAATCTTCTGCTTGATGAGTTCGTGCGTCTCCGGGAAGCGCTTGTTTGGCGGCAGCCTTTCCTCCTCTTCCTCGTCTTCATCGTCGGAAGAGTCGTAGGGTGTTACCCGAGGATGCGTGGCCGCGGGAGTCGACCATTCGGTGTCCTCTGGCTCATTTGCTTCGTCATCGTCTGCGAGGATGATGCCGTCTTCATGCAGGTACGAAACAAACGCTGGCGGCAGCGGGATGATGCGAGACTTGAGACATGAGCTCCGGTATTTGGGGAACCAGGCTTCGTATGAGCAGTTCTGGATGTGGTCTTTGGTGACGGGAGGGAAGACGACGGCGGGCTCGCCCTCTTTCGGGTCTTTTTCGGGCAAGTGTGGCATTTTGAAGAAATCAGCAGATGTCAAGGAACCAAGAAGATGAAAAATGATTGGGAAGGATCTTGAAAAGCTGATATGGATGGATTAAAGGATGAAAACAGTCAGAGGTTGACTCATACGGATCCTTCGTCGTTAATGCAGGGTATCAAAGTCTGGAGGGGCGCGTCTGCCGATTTGCCCCTCCATTATCGAGTTCTGCCGCCACTTTATCGGTGTACTGATCCTCACCGCCTGACGAAAGCGTCCTGGCCTGCTGGCTGCAGTGGACTTTCAGCGGCATAGGCGCTAGAGAAGCCGCTATGACGGCTGTCGCGCCAACTTGCAGCAGCGGATCTCGAACCTCCAAAGTCTGGGTCTTCAGCCCGACCAAAGTCCTGATTTTCAGCCTCGAATCGACATCAAATACATGCAGCCTCTCAACACTCCTCCAAGCGTCACATTATACTTGCAGCCATGTCTGACAATGTCGGCCTTTCGACGCCGCGAGGCAGCGGAACCTCTGGCTACGTCCAGCGAAACCTCGCCCAGGTCAGGCCGCGCGACTACGCCGCGCCGTATCCCAAAGATCGCGACATGCGACACAAGCAGCGACAGCCCGACAAGGCGATTCTCGAGCACGACCGAAAGAGGGAGATTGAGGTCAAGGTCTTTGAGCTGAGAGATCAGCTGGAGGAAGAAGAGTATGTGCGATCTGGACAGACACGTAGTCGTGGGCGTGGCCAGCGGTGCTAACTGTTCCGTAGGGTTGAGGAAGAGGAGATTGATCGCCGTTGCGACGAGCTGCGGAAGAAGCTGCTTGCGGAGATGAACTCTAAGAACAAGAACAATGCGCCGAGGAGGGCTTTCAAGGAGCATCAAGTGCACGAAATGGCCGACGCCAAGATCAAGGAGAGCGAGCGGCTAAGGAGAGCGCTCAAGATCAGCTCCGATTACGAAGAGGGAGGACACTGGAAGAAGCAGGAGGAGAGGTTGAGGGAATCACTGGCGAAGAACGAAGGAGACGAGGCCAAGGAATGATGACTCTCGCTGCGAAGAAGGCAACACGTTGGGCCGCTGTCGATATGGAAAACCAAATACTCAGCGACGGGTTCTCAAACGGCGGATTCAGTCTCTGAAGTCTTCAGATTGAGCGGCGGAATCATCTTTACAAAACCTCCCAAGTCTCCGACCCCGATCAAACGACGGCTTTTATCAAGGATGGGCCTCTTGCGCATGGACACGGGAGCTCCATGTCGTCAGCCTAGGAGACAGGATAAGGTCTCTCCTACTGGGATTGAGTCTGCGTATATGGCACTGGGTTTTAGCAATGAGAAGTGCCCTCTAAGTGCGAGAGAGAGATTGCATTACCGTTAGGGGAACATTTTCTGGGTGGCATGGCGTATTCGGAGTTCTTTGCGGGTTTACGAATCTAGGGAAAATCTTTTGCTCTTGGCTACAACTCCGCGGTCTACGGGTACCAAGCAGCGGGTATCTGGCATGAAGGAAACTTGTATGCTTCATCTCATGACTTCTCAGTGGCATCGTGATGCTGGAAGAGACCGACCTGAGATAGTTGCACCTTGCTATACTGGCAGCACTGGCTGTCGTTGGACCCTAGTTTCAGAGCGCCTCGGAAGCCATTCTGGATCTACAGCAGCATATATTCCAATTCTTCTCTTTCAGCTGCGTCTAATCATCTAATATAAGGTACTCGTTCGTTGCCTGTCTTTGCTCCCCAGTGACCTCTTGCGGTGGTAGATTGCCTAAATCGGCCGCCTGTGGCGCGCTGCGAAGCTTCAGCCACATGTCCAACTCCCAGCGACGTAATTCCACATGTAACGCTGTACCTACACATGCATCCATCTTCGACCCTGTCGCAAACCTCACAACAAGTCACAAGCCACCCTCACGCATACCATGGCTCTCCTGCACAGCCTGCCTGACGGAGAGCAGCCGGATCTCTCTCCGGTAGAGCTTGCGCAGCTCCTCACCCGGTTAAAGCAGTCCGTGCTGCATCCGAGTCCCGACCGCGAGCGCAGGCTGCGCAACAGCGAGTTTGAGAGGACGAGGGTCGAAGCTGTAAGACGGGGAATGATGCATCTTGAAACTGCTGAATGATGCTGACACTCCGGCATAGAATTTGCAGTATGCGCGCGCGGCGCTGACGAAGCTGGAGCAGACGCCACTGGCAAGGCGAGCGGAACTACAGAGCGACCTTACATTACATCGGGAGACGCTGGACCTGTTGTTTGATCGGCTAGACGACCTACGAAAAGTACGAAGTGCCAGATTTGAAGCAAGTTAGAGCAATGCTGACATAGAATAGGTTGCTGTTGACGAAGAAGACTCGTCCGAAGGCGAAGACCTGTTGGGGGACATTATACACACGCCGAGCGAGAGCCAGGACTCGAGGCGGTCATCGAATGCGCCAAGGGTAGAAGGCGACTATGACGACGCGATACACAACCCCGAAGCCCCTGAGCCGCCGTCACAAGCTGAACCTACGCCGCCCGAGCCCCCTACAACGACGCCCACCACTGGAACTGCAACGGCTAAGGCCATCACCAGCGAGCAGCCTTCCACGCAAACGACACAAACACTGCGCGCCCGCGCCTCCGCCTCATCACCAACCCCTTCCGCCCACAGCACAGCACGATCCGCCCTCTTCGCCAACCGCCGCAAGCCCGCAAGCCCAGAGACGTCGACCGCCACGGCAGAGGCCATCCTCGACCAGCAGCGCGCCGAGCAGGACGCCATCTCCAGCTCGATCCTGCAGATGGCGAGCGCGCTCAAGGAGAGCTCCAAGAGCTTCTCGGCGACGCTGGAGGAGGACAGGACGGTGCTCGGCGCCGCGGGGGCGAGCATGGAGAAGTCGGAGCTGAGCATGGAGGCTGCGCAGGGGCGGATGGGGTCGCTGAGGAGGATGACGGAGGGGAAAGGATGGTGGGGGAGGATGATACTGTATGCGTGGGTATATGGGCTGATGGTTGTTCTGGTGTTGCTGGTGTTTGTGTTTCCAAAGTTGAGGTTTTGAGGGCTTGGGTGATGGTCTTTGTGCTTGGGATTTGATGTGTCATGATGATGTTATGTGTATTCAAGCATAGACGAGCGCTGATATTTTGGGTTTGGTGCAATATTAGGCTGTTAAGCTGACTGTCATGTTGGCTGGCTTTCTCTGGGATTCTTCGATGTCTACATTGACAATGGCAGATATCTCCTGGCTCCGACAGCGGCTTCTAGAAGTCGAGTCTGTGGATATCCTGCTGATTGGGGGTTGTTGGGAATGTGTCATAGGCGCGACTGAATCTGCCCCTAGGAGTCTATGGCTCTTTGAGAACATGGAGCTCTTCTTGATTCTCTTCTCCTTCTTCCTCTTCTCCCTCTTTCTCTTCTCCCTCTTCCTCTACTCCCTCTTCCTCACCTTCATCCATCAAGATATCCATCTCAGTACCATAAACCCCGACATCGTCTTCTAGAGGCGTTCCAAACCCTGATGTAACTGTTGATTCATCGCGACCGATGTCATCATTGTCATGCTCCAGTTTGACCGTGTCGTGTGCTTCACTTGCCTCGTCCTCATCCTTGACCTGAGCTTCCTCCACGGGCGGCCAGGGTAAGCCTCTCAGCTGGGCGTTGATCTCGAGACAATACTCGTAGCAAAACCGAAGGCGTCGACCAACTGGCTTTCCACCCGTCTAAGCCCACACACAGGTCAGCTCATTCAGCCATTGTTCTCATCTCAAGTAGCACAAAGGGGGGCAAACTCACCGGCGGCGAATACTGAAAATAGGAGCTCGGCATGGTCCCCTGGCCAATCACCCGATCCTGCCACTCGATGCCCGTCTTGATGCGGAAAAAGTCCATGAAGAGGTCCATTTCGCGGCGCCAGGGGCCGGAGCAGGGGCTCGGGCGGTGGAAGCTGGGCTGGGAGGCGCCTTTTTTCTTTATGAACTTTGCGGCGAACCAGTAGAGATGAGGCTTTGCGTTGGATTCCCAGAGCTGTTTGTATGTATATATGTGTGTGTATTGTGTTTAGTGAGAACAAGGCGTAGTACAGGTAGGTTTGGGAGGGGAGGGGGGCTGTTCTTACGTAGAGAGTGTAGCGTTGGCCGAGGTCGCCTGTTTCGGTGTCGTTGCGGGTGATGTCGATTTGATAGCTGAAGAATGTCCGATCGGTGTATATGTGGAAGAGATCTAAGGAGTTGTAAGTAAGCATCGTGTCCCTCGCCGTGCCCTGGAGCTCAGCAGAAAATTGTGAGAGTATATATATATATATATGTGTGTGTGTGGGGTGTCTCTCTCTCTCTCTCTTACTCGTGTTGACGGCCCTCTCGCCCTCTCTCTTCCCTCGCTCAATGCGAGCCTGTTCCCTCTTGGCGGCGTTCTGCTTGGCCAGGATGTTGCGCATCGAGTATTCCCTCTCGGGCAGCTTCTTGTCGTTGACGGCGGAGATTTCGAACCAGTCGCAGTGGACAATGTGTTGTTTCTTTCCACGGGCGAGAGCTTCCTTGACTATCATGATACAACAGGATTTTTCATATAAATCAGCCAAAGAATCACCACATACTAACACAACAAGGTCGGTTGACTAGGGAAAACGAGATGGGAGAGAGAAAAAGCTACTACTTCTGGGAAGCTTCTGGTCAAACTGCTCACGCGTGCACAGCAGGTGGGTGACTTGGTCGTCGTAGTCTTCTGTGAAGACGCCTTTGCGGAGGGCGGTCCATTGGCGGAGGTTTTCGGCGGTGAGTTGGCCTGGGAGAGGGCCTGCTGTGGCGATGACGAGGTTCTTGAAGATTTTGCGAGGCATTTCTCCAAAGTGTGTATATGTTTGATAAGGTTGACGAATCGATGAGAGGGTGGTTTGGATTGGAGAAGGAAGCGGAGATGTGGGATCATAAGGCTGTGAGGCGGGATGATGTGGTGGGCTCTTGAGAAGATTAGGTCTTGGAGAGGTGTGTTCGTCTTTGAATGAAGATGGCAGATTTAAGCTGTTGAGGACTTGTAAAGATGTGGCACGAAGCGGTGGTGCGCTGGCGGTGTGGTTGTTCTTGAGCCCAGGACGGACTTACACGTCAAGTCGGAGATGTTTGGTGGTGGGAGGACAGATGCTACCAAGGTCAGCTGCGATGTGGACAAAGATCTCGCGACTTGATATATGATACTGGAGCGAAGAGGTAGTCAAGATAGACACAGCATGATCATGTAGAACAAACAGTGGCAGGCGGCAGGAGCATGTATCGATTCGCAATCAAGAAATCTACCCAAAGTTTTGATCTATTTCCGCAAAAGGGCTTTCCTCTCATCTTCGAATCTACCTGATCGCCTTGCTAGCCTTGACAAAGGCAGCAATCTTGGCCAAGCTCTGCTTGCCATCCTCCTCAACACCACTGCTCACGTCCACTCCAACTACCTGGCTGCTATACTCTCCCAGGGCATTGACCGCTTCGGCAACGTTGTCGGGGTTGAGGCCTCCAGCCAGGAAGATCCTGAGTTCTGGATCCTTTTGAAGGAGCTCCTTTACGCTTGAAACGTCCAATAGCTTGCCGGAACCCGCTCCAGAGTCCAGCAGCGGGACAACATGATATCCGCGGATACCGACGGCAGGGTTGTTGGGCTTGAAGCAGCGGATGACGGGCACGGGGATTGCCTTGGCCCACTCGATAGGCTCTTCGCCGTGGAGCTGGACGATGTCGAGGTTATATAGCCTCTGCTTCTCCAAAACCTCGCTCAGGGGTTGGTTCTGAAAAATACCCACTACCTGTGTCCTAGGGGTCTTGAGATTCTTTGTTGTGAGCTCAAAGAAATCCGTAGCGCCTGAAGAGGGAATCTCTAGCTTGGCAGAGGTTCCTGAAGGCTTGGTGTACGAATGAACGGCGTCTGAGATGGCTAGGGCAACCTCGTGGGAAGCGGCCCGCCTCGCTCCGGGCACCAGGTTGACGCCGATAAAGTCAGCGCCGGCCTCGACCGCTTCCAGCGCAGCCTCGACGCTTCGGATGCCACAAATCTTGACGTGCAATTTCTCAGGCGTGTTGTTCTTCGGCGCCGGCTTGCTTCCGGAGCACAGTTCGCTGATAAAGGTCGTCGCATCTGGTGCCTTCATGATGGCCTCGCCGACAAGGACGGCGTTGATGCCATCTCTCTTGCAGTCGAGGACGTCCTGGTGCTTGTTGATGCCGCTCAATGCGCAGATGATGGTCGAATCAGACACCATACTTCGCAGACGCCCCGTGGTATTGATGTCGACCTCAAAGGTCTCGAGGTTTCTGTTGTTGACGCCAATGACCTTGGCGCCGAGCTTGACGGCTGTCGTCATCTCGTCTGCGTTCTGAACTTCCACCAGAGGCTCCATTCCCAGGGATAATGAGTACTTGTACAAGCGCTCCAGCAGCTCGACTTCAAGCATCTTGACAATCAGCAGCACTGTATCCGCTCCGGCTAACCTCGCCTCCAGGATCTGGTACTCCTCAAAGATGAACTCTTTCCGCAGGATCGCAGGTCTGTTGGGCATACCATCCAGCACCTGGCGGACAGCTCTCAAATCTTCGATGCTTCCCTTGAACCACTCAGGCTCTGTCAAGACGGAAATCACACTCGCACCGGCAAGTGCATACTTGCGGGCCTGGACGGGAGCCTGAACTTCTAAAGCGAATACGCCCTTGGAGGGAGAACCGCGCTTGATCTCCGCCATGAGAGCCACGTCAAAAGGCGACTGCTTCAACCGGTTGACAAACGGTACCAAGGGGGGAGCGCCGTTCAGATCGTATGCGGCTTGAAGGTCGCTCATCCGCTGCGACGGAATCTCCTTTTGCTTGGCGACGGCAGCTTTTCGGTTGGCGTAGATGGTCTGAAGAATGTTGTTCTTTTGCGGCTTAGGCGCAGAAGAGCTGGAGGCCTTTGAAGCGGCCTTTTGAAGCCTTTCGTTTTCCTCCCAGGTGCCGCCCTGCATGTGCAAGAAGTTCCTAATCATCACACGACCTTCTGCAGTAAGGATACTCTCCGGGTGGAACTGCACGCCCTCGACCACATACTTCTTGTGGCGAACTCCCTGGATGATGCCAGCCGAGCCATCGGGCTTGGCGATCCAAGACGAAACCTCCAGACACTCGGGCAGAGTAAGGTGAGTGCCGGCAAGAGAGTGGTATCGAGTCACCGGAAGGCCTTGCGGCAAGCCGGCAAAGACTCCCTTGGCATCGTGGGTCAAGGGAGACGTCTTGCCATGCAGCCATTCACCGGCAGAGGAGACATCGCCGCCATAGATGTCGAATATGCATTGCCTGTGTACGAATGTAAGCCACACAACGAGCCACGTCTTTAGCGAATGAGAACGGCGACACGAGTTTGAGCATCATTGAAGCAACTTACAGGCCCATGCAGACTCCCAAGACGGGAATCTTGCCCGCAAAGTGCCGGATTGCGTCCCGGCTGACGCCGGAATCGGTCTGGGGGTGGCCAGGGCCGGGGCTGATGATGAGCTGCGTCGGGTTGTGCTTGATCAGCTCCTCGACAGTGATCTTGTCGTTTCTGAAGACATGGACGGTGGCACCCTCAAGCACGAGGTACTGGTAAATGTTCCAGGTGAAGGAGTCGTAGTTGTCAATGAGGACGAGGTTGGAGGCCGTCGCAACTGGAGGAGACGGATCCGGCTGGTAAGGCGAGTGGTCGATGATACCGGAAGACGACATCTTTGACGGGCCAGAAGGCGCAAAGAATTGGTGGTGAAAGAAGAAGAATGAGAGACAGACAGACAGACAGACAGACAGAACAGGTGAGATGAAGGCGCAAACTGCCGTCAGCAGAGGAGAAAGAATGTCTTGTGTCCGTAAGGCCCCGGGGTTACATGAAGGGGACAGAGTCGGTGCTTCTTCTGATGTCGCCTCTCTTATTGAGTTAGTTTTGTATGAGTCAGCTCCATCATCAACCAACAATTTCTGACATTTGGCGCCATTATGGCTTTTGGGGGGGCGATATGCCGATATCCCGCTATTCTAGCAAGTCTACATAGAGCTGTTGTGTCTGCTGGGGTGCCGATAAAGCCCCGGTCTGGGCGCCATGTGCCAGGTGCTGGATACTCATACTGTATGAAGTGCCATCTCTTGTGCTTTCTTTCGCCTCGGAGGCCATATCAAATCGGCTTCAACCGTGCAGTGAGCAGACCGTCACTGGATCACCTCGCACTGTGTCGCTCTTGGGCGCCGGCTAAACCGCGGGTTCCTGGGAGCTTCACCAAAAAAGTCGACCTGCAGCAGCTGCTTGTTGTTGATGCTGGACCATCTCGAACTCCAGCACCCCAAAATTGTGCCAAAAGCGCGTCAACCGTGGCTCTGCACCGCTCTCGCACCAACAGCCTCCAGGTGATGCGGCGAGCGTCTCGGCCGCCTTACTGAGACTCGTGGCAATGGCGCCGGTGTCCGATAGCAACTATTTCCCCTCCGTGGGACAGTGCCTCTCCGGCGACAAGGTGCTTCTGTGAGTAGCGGCGCTGCTGTGCTTTTGCTTCTGTCTGGCCACGGAAAACTGACCGCAGCATCAAGATCGTGGAAGCTCGTCGCTACGGCCCTCTCAGATGCAACTGGAGAACGACAAAAGAGCTCTGCGATTGTTCGGTTCTTCGACGACGACTATGTCCGCGGACTGCTGAGCGAACCGGCGACCGCGTTTGCGCCGCCGGACGAGGCTACCAACAAGAGCTTCGAGACCAGGACGGCCCCGATCAACGTCACCTCCGCGTCGACAGACCGATACGATATAGACCAGTTCAAAGAGGATGCAAAGTGGCTCAGCAAAAATGCAAAGGTCAACCTGGTCGCTGCCCTGCGGGTCGTCCTCGTCGAGTACCAGTCCCGCTCTTCAAGGCATCTTCTCGGCCCTCTATCGTCCCACGATGCCGCCAACCTGCAGGAAGCCGCGGGCCTGCAGAATGGCCAGGGGCTGGCGTTCTTGTCAGACTTGGGAGCCGCAGCGGCTTTGGACGCCGACGAGATATCCGCCGAGTTCGACAAGGCCGACACCAGAAGACGCCGTTTATTCGATACCTTCTTGACCGAGCGCCGCTTCTTCATCATGGTCGCGGATTATGCCACGTCCATCAAGCTGTATCAGCGGCTTCCCATCTTCGCTCCTGGAGACGATAGCGTCGCCGATCTGTACAAGTTGAGGATGTCTGCGCAGCCACGCGATGAGATGGAGGCAATGCTGCCGGCCTATCTGGACGTCGTCTCTAGCTGCATGAGCGGAATCGAGGCCGGCATGAAGGCATTTACGGATGAAGAAGTGCTGCTCAACGACGGAGTGGAGTTGGAATGGATACGCAGTCTTCTGACTGAGGTTGTTCACAGCTTGTCTGTGGTCCTTCAGTTGGTAGACTGTTATGGCAGCGATTTCCCTCCGTCCTCAGCCATCAACCAGTGGTTCTCACTGATGGAGATTTATGGCTTTTTCGATTCCATACAGCCTGTATGTGCTCCCTCCTAAGTCCTCTCACTTTGTCTCGGCTAACGCAAGGCAGATCGATCCAACCACTGCCGAGCTGGTCATGCCGATGAAGGTCCTCGCTTCGGCCATCTCCATTGGCCTGCTCAAGCCTGCACGAGCACTCGCATACCTGTCTGATCGAGACGAGGACCCCGCGCAGGCTGACGATGTATATGATTCGTATCTGCTCTCGCCTGATGTCTTGGAACAGGTTCACAAAAGCATCTTGGACGCGGCCGGGTCAGACTCGGAGACTGCCTGCCCTGTCATCTTCACATGGTCCTTTCTCCTCCACCGACTCAACGTGTCCTACCAGACCAGGACCGATAAGCGCGACAACCTGATACAGCAAAGTGCCCGGGAGAAGTTTGAGACGCGGAGCGTGATGCGCACGCCTACTGGCCGGCGGAACTCGGCTGGAAGCATCTATTCCATTGAGTCTTCCAAGTTCGATGGCTTTCTCGAGAACGCATCGACTCCAAGGGATATGCAGGTTGTCGAGCAACTTGCGGCGGTCGCCACGGCTCAGGGCAGGGTTTTTGACATAATGTCGAAGATGGCCGAGACCCTAGGCCCGTCTGTGGACGGCAGCCTGTCGCCCCTGATTAGCTCGCGCCTTCGCGCCGTCTTCCTCGAGCTCCTCAAGGTATCATATCCGTTCGTCGGGTACCAGTCGGACTCCGTGAGCTGTCTGCATGCCCTTTTGTCTCCTGGTCGAGGCTATTGGGACCTATCTGCGTCAGATAATATGCCCGTAGACCAGGACATTCTCAGCTCCGTGCTACGGGACGACCTGGCCATGGATTTCTTTTTCCAGCAAGCCCTTGATCGATACCCCTACGAGTTCCTTCCCTTCATCACGCTCTGCCGTATACTCTGTACTGCATCGCAAGAGAGTCCGGATGAGAGGACGGATATGATCCTCGACCTGCTCCTCAAGACACCGACCATTACCTTTACACTGCCGAACCTATTCCAAGGATATGAGCTGGTTCAAGAGGACGAAAACACAAACTCTTTCTGCCTCGTGGAGGAAGTTCCTCTAATTTCTCTCTCATCCTCATGGAGTCGGCGGTATATTGAGGATGACGCTTACAGAATACCTGCGGGCACCTACGGGCGATTCATCACAGACACTGGGCGCGTTGTCCTGATGGACTATCCTCACTCAACCTTGGCTCTCCTTGGTCGGCGACTCGAGATTAGCCTCTCACAAGAAGGGTATCGTTGCGAACTGGGAATGTTGCAACCAGAAGAGACGGCCGAAGTGATTTCGTTATTGGCGTCGCTACTGCGAATGGAGCAGCTCAAGGTAGCAAGGCAAGGCGGCGGCAGCAGCAGCAGTGCATTGGTCCGTTTTGACGACGATCTGCTGTCCGAGGCCAGCGCCCACATCAGCGGCGGCAAAGATATCGTCACCGTTGTGTGCGAAACCATGGACTACTACATGCAGGACGAGCTAGCCATGACCGAAGACAGTGCTGTCAGCGTGCTCACGGCATGCGTCAAGTTCCTGCACGCTGTTCTCCAGGTTCAACCCAGCCGGGTCTGGTCGTACCTCGCCAGGACAGAGCTTCTCAACTCGGAGTCACGAGCCGGTAAACTCACCAAGATCATCGGCAGCCTCGAGCTGGTCTCGGAGCGATTTGAGTTCCTCGCTTCTTCACTGTCGCTCTTCTCCGCGCTCATCGACACTGTCATGTCCTCTGCCGTGCAGCGTCGGGCGGGGAGCAAGCCTGCGAGTCGTCAGCAACCCGAGACGAATCCCTGGCTTGGCACCGCTGACAAGGTGCTCTCCCAGGTTAGCCTTTCAATTGCACAGACGTCTGTGGATGTGTTTGAGAACACGTCCACCTGGATGTTTGACTCGGAAAGCAGTAGAATATCGCTGCTGCAGAGAGTCGTCCCCATCCTCGACAAGATTGTGCTTTACACCTACAGCATGGGCGACTGTCCCAGGTCGGACAACCTCACGTCCTGCCTTCGCCCTGCTGCTTCCCACATCATCGACTGCTTCCTGTCGCCATCGGGCGGAAGCCTGCGGTTTCAACCTCTTCTCCTCTCCTTCATCTCCGCCCTTACAAAATCAGACTCAACCCTGTATCCCAAACGGACGGAAGCTGTTCGAAGCCAGATAACATCAGTGCTTGACTTTTCCACAACTCTCCTTCGAGTTGCAAAATACCTAGAGCGGCCCTCGACCTTGGTCGAGACGTACCTCTTCAAAACCTCCACGTTATCGGCGCGGCTCTGCGCCGTGTCGGACCATTTCCGGGGACCAGCATTGTCGCTGCTGGAGGCACTGGTCGTCAATGCCGGCCAGTCCACCAGCGAACCCCCCTCCCTCTTGGGATACCTCGGCCCTCACATTTCGAAATCCTTCCTCCACATTCTCGCCGCCATTGGCCAGCCCTTTGCCCTGCAGAGCGAAGTCAAGACCACTTGGAGATTCTTCACGTCCATCTTGAAGAACCGACAGCAATGGATGTCCAATTGCCTTCTCACAGGCCAAACGCCGCGGGAGGCCATGAAGGAGGATACCAAGAAGAACGAAATGTCCGCGGATTCTGTCTTTGCAACGGCTCTGTCTAAGCTCAAGATCTTGAAGGACATAGAGACGAGAGAGGCCCTTGTCATTCTGGACTTCGTGACATCGGCACAAAACTACTGGCCTTGGACGGTGTTCACCCTCCAGAAAGACACGTCTTACATGGATGGATTGCGGGCCTATGTCCGTGACCTGAAGCCCTCTCACCAAACGGTCAAAACGGACGCGGTGCTTGCTGCTACCCAGGCAAGGATTGCTGCGTACATCGCCGAGATTTTTGCCATGCAGCTCTATCACTCGCGGCACCTCGGCAAGGCGGATACGCTTGCGAAGGGACTGTCTAACGATCTTGACTACTACCTGCGTGATGGTGTTGAGGTGTCAAGCTACAACAAGTCTCTCCACAACAACTTTGCAAGGAACTTTTCGAATAAGTTCTTTGGATGCTCCCTGGACAACTTCAAGCGGACCGTGGTGGGCCCGAGGGAGCTGGGCGAAAACTATTACTATGACCTGGACCGCGCCGATGAGGTCTTACGCTTCGATCCTGGATGGCAGGGAAAGAAGGGGGCTGGTTTCCTCAACGAGATGAAACTCGCAAATGCCAACCTGTCCCTGGTCGACGCTCAAATCGTAAGTGCCCTTCATCTTAGGTTGTCTGATCCGAGGTAGACAGATTGCTGACCCTTCTTAGGCTCTCTTCCACGCATGGGAGCTCTTGCTGCTTGAACTGGGCACGTGCTTCCCAGAAACCGATGCAACTAAAAAGCACATGATGCAAGTTGCCCAGCAATGCTTGAACGCAAACCAGGTGGTCCCGGGACCGGAGAGCATCTTCCTCAAGATCGTCGACGCAAGAGCCGACCTGGCCCTTATTTTGATTCAGCGCCTGGTCAACTCCACCCTTGCTGTCAAGGATGTCAACCAGGTACTGGATACTTTGATTGGCACCATCAACAGTGTTGAAGAGCCCTTTGAAGCCGAGTCCATTGCTTACTACCGCACGCTTCTGAAGGCCCTGTTTGTTACCCTGCGGGCTTACCAGACCGCATCCAGCAAGGCAGCAGCGAGCTCGCAGGCGGACCTCGAGGGTTCTCTCGTAACGGTCACTCAAACCATTCTGAACGTGCTCGATACGGTGGTTGCCAGAGGCTTCCGATCGTTGGTCAGCTTGATTCACGACAAGGCGGCAGATGTCTTCCCCGAGGATCTTGCTCTCCTCACAGCCATTATGCAAGCCTGCCTCAGCGTTCCCAACATTGAACAGTCCCAGACGCAGATTCTCAACATCATGGCCTCGCATGATGCTACACATGCAGCGACATCCTTGTACTCGTGGGCTGATAAGCTCGGGGATCATGGTGATCCTGTGTACGGCGAACTTAGTATCCTATTCTTGCTGGAGCTCTCAACCCTACCCTTGTTGGCGGAGCAGCTTGCGTGTGACGGGGTGCTCGGCGCGATTCTGTCTGCCAACCTCACCAAATACTTGCTCAGGACCAATGTCTCGCCGTATGCCGATGCGCCCATTGCACAGCGGTGCTACGGGATCTGGGTCAAGGGCATGCTCCCCCTCATGCTCAACCTGCTCACTTCTCTCGGGGCGACGGTTGCTCCTGAGATTACCTATGTCCTCAACCAGTTCCCGCACTTGCTGCAAGCGAGCGTAGAGCGGTTCGAAGCACCAGGAGCCAGCCGAACCAAGGAAAAGTCTGCGCAATACCTGACGCTCCTTGGCACCTCGGAGATTCACTCTTTGGCGCTTCTCACGCGCGTGCTTGCGGCTCTTCGAGCGAACAACAGCAGAGATATCCCCCCGGTCGAGTGGGATGAGGCGGGTCTCCTGGAGAACGTAGACTACTGGCTCTCCAGCAGGCGTCTGCTGAAGGAGCGACTTCTTCCTCTGGGGCCGCGGGAGATGGAATGGAGGGGGAGAAAACTGACAGGGGACTGCGATAACGTGCTGGAGGAGAAGGTTGTGGTGCAGCTGGAGACGGTTCGCGACGTGCTCAGCGAGGAATTCGAGGGCTGAGAATATGGATATATTGCCGGATTTTGCCGTTCAAGCTACGTCGTATGCGATTAGACAAATCTGGGGACGGTAATGGATTTCAGGATTAGGCGTTGGACTTTGGACTATTGAGTACTGCATCAGATGTAACATATGACTTTGTTACGGCTTTTTTTGAGTCGAGCATCTAGATTAATTCTCATTGAGCGAGGTTTCGTATTGTGATTGATGGCTTTCCAATGACGGGCACCCTGCCCTCGCTTTCGACTACCCATTTATCCCATGATATTGATACAGATGACTCCGACTCAACGAGTCGAGCTTGTGTGCCCTGGTGTAGTAGTATCCCTGCTAGAATCTCTTTCCTCTTCCCTGCTTCCCCCACCGCAACACTGCGTATCATACAAGTAAGTCATCTATCATGAGACCACTCCTCTCGTCTCTCAACAGATCCTGATTCCAAGAGGACACTCAGAAATCCTCTAGCTGTCCTTTTTTTTTTTCCACTCATCGACATCAAAGGCGCCAGCCCCCATTCGTCATCCTTACGCTTTGTATATATTCTTTTTGCTTGCTGGTTTCGAATTCCCTTTTTCATTGACATTGGACGATGATGTTGTTCGTAAGAGGGAGTTGCTTTCTTATTTCTGCATCTGCTGCGTGATCTGGGCATTGTGCTCCTGGAAGCGCTCGCTGACGCGCTGCTGCGTGGCCATCCACTTGAGGACGCAGCGGTTGAGGCAGCCGGTTTCCTTGGTGGAGAGGGACTTTGAGGTGAAGTCGTCGATGCAGGAGGTGAAGCAGTGCTCGACGAGGCCGCCGAAAGCCTATTGACAGATTTCCATGAAGCTCGTTAGTGAGGACGTTTCTTTTTCCTTCTCTTTGAATACACGAGATGTGTGTAGAGGTGTGTGTGTGTGTCATCGGAGGAGGAGGAGGTAGGTAGGGATGGTTGAGAAGGAGGACGTACGCCGACGAATTCCTTGACTTGGCGCTTTTGCATGCGCTGCTCGAGGGTGCGCTGCTCGGCGGATGTTAACCTGTATAGAGATGCAGCAGTCAGTTACTCGTATTCGCTGAAAGTAGTATGATATGTACAAGGGATTGTTCGTACATGTCCATTGTGGCGGTAGTGGTGGTTGTGGTTGTTGGTGTGTAGGTATGTGGTTGTGATTATGCAAAGTGTTTGGGCGTTGAACGACTTCCAGATTGTTGGAAGCTTTCTCTGGGGACTGATGACGATGAAATTTTGGAAGGATGTACTTAATTCCGCTTTTGTTGGAGGGACCCCACATTTTGCCTGTGTGGCTGTTCTTTTTTTCTTTTCGGAGTTGGGGTGTGGAGGATGGTTGTTCGCACGGAGCTTGGGGCTGGTTTGGCCTGTGGTACAGTGTGAATTGCTGCTGTGGCTGGCATCTAAGACTTTGCTTGGTTGTTATGTACGAGCCTCAGCGCCGTTTTGACAGCTGAGACATGTGAATGATGATGTACCTAGCATCTTATGATTGTATGGGCTACTACTAGCAGGTATATCGTATTTCTCCAGTCTATCCTTCTGATTGTGCTTGATCCATGTTGTTCCTCATATGTTTGACTTTTGATGATCGCGCCGTCAGGATGTCTGTGTACGGTGCTTATCAAGTACTCCCAACCGATCCTGGAGAGATACTATGTATTACGGCTTCAGCTAGAGGTGCTTAGAGCGACAAGACGGACCTGTGCCAGTGTTGCGCCTCATACATCATCCTGAATCCTAACATCGTCGTACTGGGCTATGATACGGGAGAAGCAAATCAAAGGATATGGAATCAATTGCTCGTAACTGTAAATTGCCTGAATTGCTTCAGTGAGGTCATCGTGAGCCCTCGACAGAATCCGGGCGCAGCGTGGCTATGCTCGTATCTCGCTCGCACTTGCGATCCCCCCCCCCCCTGATCTAGGTCAGGGCGCATCTCGAGGCGTGAACGGCAGCCGGCTTACTCCCGTATCTCTGCTAGTAATCCTCGAGGAAGATGGAGACGAGGAGGAGCTCCAAGGAGCGTGATATCCCCCGTACTGCTTAGTCGCAGTAGCTAGAGTAGCCATCCCCGTAAGAGGTAACCTTGATCACAAACTTACTCCCTTTCTTACTTCGTACCTGTGCCATCTTTTTTTCGTGCTGATGGTCAGCCTGGCGCCCTCCCTCCCCCTTCCCTTCCCCCCCCTTGTTATTGAGCCTTGTCCAAGCCACAACGGCCATGGTCGAGGGACCGGGCTTGGCATAAGCCTGGTGCTTCTCGATGGTGAATCTATTTTGCTTCCTTTGGCTTCGATGATGCGCCTGTTTTCGCGCCGGAAAAGGAGTAAACAAAGAATACGACAGCAACAAGCTCCGTCGGCGAGATCCTAGAAGGGCCAGACCATGTCGTTGCCGGTGCTAGTAGTCGACCGGTCTTGATTGGCACGTATATGCAGGCGGAAAGTTAATTGGGTGGAAGATGCCTGTATCTTGTAATGGATGAAGTAGTAGTAGGAGTAGGTAGGTTGAGAGGAGAGTGATGCTACGAAGGTATGGAAATGCAGGTGAGCGCTTGATATACAGGTTACTATAGTAGTACGAGTAATACTGGAGTGAACCATCTGCGGTGCTCCATACTACCTCAGGATGGGTTGGAGCAAAGCCATGCTAACAAAGGTGACGGTGACAGAGTCTTGGTCCATCGACCCTTGCCGCATCGCTGCATGGCTGGTTGCTGGAAGCTCTGTATACGAGATGAGATGCAACTACAGAATAGGTAGATGCCTAGGTAGGTAGGTAGCTAGGCAGTTGTACAAGTACGGTATGCTGGTCATTTGCAGCCCTACAGTACATGTCATCTCGCTCGCTGGACCGGAAAGGCTGAGAATACATTTGTACATACCTCTGCTCCAGCTGCTGAAACGACATGAGGATACATGCAGCTCTGGTCCAATGTTTCTTTCTCCAACCAAAACCAGATCCGTCACGAGGGGGGAAACCCTTTTCAGCTGAGAAGAAGAGGGAAAGGGATCCGTCAGTCAGGCGTCTTGATTCTCTCACTCGCCGCTTCCGATCCCCCTCCTCTCTACGAATAGCTGCAGAGCCCGTCGCCAATTTTGACGCAAGACCTGCCCTTTGGCAGGGATCGTGACCTTGTTTGTGCGGCTCCTGGCGCGGTCGTTCTGGGCTCTCTGGGCGCTGGGCCCCAAGCCGCTGGAAGATCCAGGCGCCGATCATCCAGAATTTCGAACATGGTGGCCGCCTTGCTCCAACGTCATTCGCCGTGCTCTTTCGTTTCCCCTCCTCTGAGACTGTGCACCGCCTCGTTTCTTTCCCCCCTGGCTGGTTGATACAGTATATCTGTCACATGTACAGTCTGAATGTGAGTGCAGCGTTGGAGTAAGGTAGACAGAAAAGACCTTTGTAACGGTACCTTGAAGAGTAGGTTCAAGAGTGGAAGAAAAAGTCGAGATCAATGGATCACTTTTTGGGGCAGCCTCCAGCCTTGCGCTGTACACACGAGGGTGCTTGTATGTGTGTACCTCGTCGTAGCTCGCTCGCTCCACGTCCAGCTGTCCGTGCGAGGACAGCAAATTTGCGGTAGCTGTACCTGTACCCGTACCCGTACCGGTACCTGCACCGCGACCCCTCCAAACCGCAGACCGGTCCCTTGGCCCCCTGTGTTTTACCCAGCTTGCCGTCCCTGCCAGTGGCCGCCTGCACGCTGAACCCACCGTCATCCACCAAAAGTCCACTGGAACCACGCTGCGATTCCACGCTGCGGTGCCTCCAGCGTCTGCCGCCAGCGCCACACCAGCCGCCTGCAGCCCCGGGCTGGTACCGATACCAACGCGGAACCCCCCCCCCCTCTCCAGCCGTCTCCGCGAACCACTGGCCCTGGAGCGGCGCACAGCACGGCTGCTGGGCACGCCTACAGTAGAGGTACGGAGGACCAGGTTGTTGCCGCGCTGGACGAAGCAGGTACCTAGCTGTACTTTGTACCTTACAGTACCTGTGCCTGTGCCCGCCCGCCAAAGCCTCAGACAAGCGGCAGGTGCTACCAAACACCACCTGCACTTGCACTGCACACGCCAGCCTTTGACCAAACGCCGTGGCACCTCCTTCCTCCCCGTATCTTGATCCTCACCTCTGCATCTCTCGCGATCGGCCCTCTCTTGTTTTCCCGCCCTCTCTCTCTTTGCCTGCATCAGCACCTGTTCTTCTCTCTTTTCATTTCTGAATCGCCTCCCTCATGTCTCTATCCTGTCGAGCCACCTGGCCGCTAGTTCACCCTTCGATCGCCCGCTCTGCAGCCCGCCCGCTCCCTGCGACTGCTCCTGCGCTTGCTCCTCGTCCTGTCCGGCGAAGCATCTAGCTGCGAGGGTCAGAGAAGAGACGAGACAGGAACCTCGCATTCCGGAGACGAGCTGCTGGAGGACGCCGCTCTGCAGCCTCGAGTTCGCCCTCGCCCTCGCCCGTTCCCGCTCCGATTGCGCGAAACCTAGAAACATCGTCGACGTTGCGCTGTCAGCTCTTTGGCGGCCTCTGCATTCGCTTCGTCCGCCCCTCGCTTGCTCTCCTTTGGGAGCCGAGTCGCCCATTTTGTGCACTCCGCCTGTTTGGACAGCTTTAGAGCCTCGTCGAGAGACGCACCGCCCGCTGAATTCCGGACTCTGGCAATCCCGCGCCCTTGTCGCCGTCCGTCGTTTGTGCGCCTGCCATGGCGTCCAGCAACTCGAATGCGCACCAGGGCAGCCCGCCTTCGCAGCCGCCAGTGCCAGCCACGCCAGCGTCGCCGCCGAACCGACGCGACCTCAGAACGTGGTGGAAGAACTTCAAGCTGCCCACCAAGCATCAGGACTCGTCAGCCCAGGGTACGCTCCCAACCTCAGGTTTAACCTCAGCCTTTACCCCCCCCCCCCCTCCAACCGGTCCTTGTGCTTTCATCGGCAGACGCCTTGCCTCGCCTAGGACGCTTTGGTCGCTATTCAAGTCTCTACTTGATATCGATTCCAATCTGCGTGGCCCCCTTGTGCGCCGCATATGTCTGCTGATGTCGGGGACTTGGGTCGCAAACCGTACACTCGCTTGAAAGCCTCAGCTACGGAGTCGTATCAAGCGATGCAAACCGTTCGCCCTGCCCCTTGTTTCCTCCCCTTGCCATCTATCCCGCCTTGGTCCCCAGCTGCCTCTTTGAAACAAGAACTATAAATTTGAAGAAGAAGGATGCAGACGTGGAGGAAAGAGGAGCGCGGCGAAAAACTTCGCTCTTTCGCTATCCGTCTTGACAGTCTCAACTAACCCAATGGCGCTGTAGAAAACCGTGGCCCAGGCATCTTTGGCGTTCCGCTCCGACAAAGTATAACATATGCAAACGTTGCCATTTCTCTGGTCGACGAGAACGGACGAAGCTACATCTACGGCTATGTGCCCATCGTTGTGGCCAAATGCGGTGTCTTCTTGAAGGAAAAGGGTATGGCAGACGAAAGCGACGCACCATCAGCGTCATGAAGTTGGCACTCGCCGCTAACGATTATACCAGCTACCAGCGTCGAAGGCATCTTCCGTCTCAGCGGCTCTGAGAAACGCATCAAGGAACTTAAGACGATTTTCGACTCGCCTGATCGATACGGCAAGGGGCTCAGCTGGGAGGGATATACCGTGCACGATGCTGCGACGGTGCTTCGAAGATATCTAAACGACCTGCCTGAACCTGTGGTGCCGCTCGATTTGTACGAGAAGTTCCGCGACCCTCTCCGAGGGGCCACAAAGCAGGCAGTCGGTGACACAGACGGTCCTCAGTTCGTCGAGAACTTTGATGAGGCGGCTGCCATTGCCAAATATCAACAGGTAATCACTGAGTTGCCCCCACTGAACAAGCAGTTGCTTCTTTACATTCTGGATCTACTGGCCGTCTTTGCCGCCAAGTCGGACGAGAACCGCATGACCTCCCAGAACTTGGCGGCCATCTTCCAGCCCGGCATGCTGTCACACCCGGCGCACGCCATGGCACCCGAGGAGTACCGGCTCAACCAATGCGTCATCATTTTCCTCATTGAGAACCAAGACCATTTCCTCATCGGAATGGAGGGAACAGAGGCAGATGAGAAGACGATGCAGCAGGTGGCCGCCGGACCCTCCGCCAACGTGCCGCGGACGCCCAACGCGGATCACAGTTCGGGCTTGGGGAGAACAGCCTCCAATGCCAGCGCTGGCGCCGAGAGCGTTCGGAGGGAGGGCATGATCCGACGAAACCGATCCGTCTCCTCGAGACATTCCAGGCCTGACGGCGCTGCTACCCCCAACAGCCCGGCCCTGGCGGCAACGCCAACTGGCGGTGGATTAGCTAGGAGCAACACCGTGCCATCCAAGAAGTCTCCGGCTCTGGTCGGGGGAAAATTCAAAAAGTCTGAGAACCCTGGCCGTGCGCCGCACTCGCCGGCTCTAGAACCCTTGACTCCGGCTCACCCCTTGCCAGAGACGAAGCTAGAGACGCCCCAGAGAGGTTCGACGCCGAACGCATCGCATACGACTTTTGAGTCAATGCACCTCTCCCCAGATCGGGTGCTCTCGCCGGGCCGAAGCCAAGAGAGGCTCCTGGACGTCCCACACGAACACTCGACGCCTTCAAAGCACCATCACCACCATCAGAACCTGCAAAAGCTGGGAGACCTCTTTCAGCGATCGCCCAACAATGACAGCAGCGAAAAGAGACAGCCAAACAAGCTCAAGAAGAAGCGGATACCGGGCAGCATGAGCATCAGTGCTCAGAGCTCCGTCACGTCGCTTGGCCATTCTGCCTCGCCAGGTACGGAGGCCGGGAACCCCCTGGAGCCAGCTCCTGCTTTTGCACAGCCCATCGCACAGCCTCAGTTCCGTTCGACTACCATGCCTCAATCAGCGCCTTATGCAGCGCCTCAGCCAGCGCCTCAGCCAGCACCATTTGCTTCGGCACCGTCTGTGGAGACTCAGAAGCAACCCGACCTGCATCACCAGTACTCAACCCCTGCAATTCATCAGAATCACGGCGACTTCCACAACCACGCCGTTTCTCACTACCACGAGCACAACCTGCGAGCTGAGGATATCCCACGGGGGAAGAAGTCGCCGCCCGCGTCGGTCGGTTCATCGTATAATGACGGCTCGGACTTTGAACAGGTTGCTCAAGAGGCCCCCTTGCCATCAATCATCGAGGCCGCCGATAAGGAAAAGAAGAGCCGGTGGCGGCTGTCGAGAACGAAGAAGGATGACTCGGCAAACGGACCAACTAGCCCTAGGGCGTCACCCCCTCAGTCCAACATTGGCTCGAACCATCACGCAGACATCAGCACCACCTCGATTGGAAGCGCCATTGCCAAGCCCCGTCAGAGTTTTACCGGCGAGAGCTCAGAGCACCTAGGGAGTGGCAGTGACCGCCCGTACACGCAGGACAGCTTCAGGGATGATAAGGACGACGGCAAAGGCCCCTTTGGCTGGATAAAGCACAAATATCGCGAGGCCAAGGAAACCGCCGAACAGAAGCGTACCAAATCTCCGCCACCATCAGACCAACACCAGCCATTGAACCCGAGTGTGCTAGCACCACGAGGCAAGAGCTTGGATCTCAACCGAGAGGAAGAGGGCTTGTACGCAAAGCCAGCCCAGCAGGATCTGAAAGGCAAGGGAGTTGTCCGACCCGAGGCATACAAGCCCTTCACCCAGGTTGACGCCGCTCAGAGAGAGCCTTCTTCTCAAGGCATGACGATTCACAGAATCATCAGTGACACGGAGAAGGCCCCGGCAGAACCGATTTCTCAGAACGCACCGGCTCCTCAACCTGAAGTTGCACCCGCTGCCGAAGCGCCGCTGCCCTCTGTTGTAGAGCACAAAGAGCAGGAGGAGACACCAGCATAATGGCTTCTGGTCAGACTGCTTTCTATGAAGACGAGATGCATTCATGATTACGTGGAGTTGGCGGGATGGGCTTTGTTACCCCCTTTTTTTGTTTCTCAATGATGCCTCTTCTCATCTTGGCCCGGGATTTAAGCCTTTGACCTTTGTCCCATTGTTCTCTAGAAGTAACGAATCTCCTTTGTCATGATGTACCTCGAATGTTGTTTCATCTCTTTTCCGATGGTCTTCCCGGTCTTCATTGGTCTCTACTCGATTGAGAGACGAAAGAGAGACTGAAGGGTTGAGTGGAGAAGGGGCATTTTTTTTCCATTTCTCTTGGGGAGGTCAAACCGAAAACAATTGTTGTATGTATCCATGTATGTATGTCAAAGAAAGTCATGTAGGAACGCGAAGCATCAGGTTCAGGTTGTGTGGCTGAGACATGAGGGATGTGGTAGTTTCTGTGCTGATGTGCGAGTGTCAAAAGGCAGAATAGAGAAACTGGTTGATTGCTGACAATTTCAGAGGCACTAGATGACCAGAGAAGAAGAAAAAAATAGCAGTAAGTAGTATCTGTGTATTAATTTGGATGGTCACTTTTGAAGCTTCCAAGGTGATGATGTAGGTTTATGTATGTCATGTCCAGAGTATGTCTTGTCTATCTGTATGAAAACAACCGCACGCTATATTCTCTTCCGCTCAAAATCATCATCCATTCTCCATTCTCCACAATCAACAGCATTACCTATGGTCCCATTAACAAAGTTGTCAAAAGTACAAGCAGTTATATATATGTAGCAAACGTTGAAACCAAATCTGGAAACACAATCCTAAGGGAGAAAAAAAAAAGACAAAAATCAAACCTCCCCATAAACTCCCGTATCCCAAACAACCATATACCCAGCCCTCCTCCAATCCTCGTTGAAGAAGCCATTGAACCCCGCCCACACCCTCCTGAGCTCCGACACGCCCAACGCCTTGCCCTCGGGCGTCGTCTCGAGAAACTCGCGCAGCCAGGGCTCCACGCCTTCGAAGCCGACAATGTACCGCGGGACGGGCACGACGGGGTTTCCCGGCGCAAAGAGCTCGCCGCGCAAGAAGGACACGGGAGCGTCGTAGAAGCGGTCCGCTTCGTCGCGGTAGAGGTCGCGCTCTGGGGTGCCCGGCTGGGTGTGCAGCGGGGGCTCGCATGTGAGCGCGTAGGCGGAGAGGCCCGGGTAGACGAGGTGGGAGCGCCAGGGGGTGGAGTGGCAGGGCATGAGGAAGAGGGCGAAGAGGGCCTCGGGGTTGGGGTCCTCCTCAGCCGCGGTGGCGTTGAGGGGAGGGGGGGAGGAGGAGGAGGAGCGGTAGTGGGTTTCGTGGGCGAGGCGGACGGCGGAGGGGTGGATGCGCTCGTACTGCTTGCGGAGGAACGAGAGGACGGTCAGGGGGGCGGGTTGGTGGAGGAAGGAGAGGTAGCCGGCGAGGAGGACGTTGATGCCCAGGGCGGCGAGGAGGAGAGGCTTGTTGCGGAGGCGAGCGCGGCGGACGTTGGTGGGAGATTTGGTCCCGGAGGATTGAGAAGGCGGCGCGGATATCTGCGCTGCGGAGGAGATGGATGGCGGGGGGCTCGTCTTGGGGACGGAGGTGAAGAAGGAGGCGGCTCGGGGCGCGGCGAGGACGTTGAGGGCCGGGAGGAGAGGGTAGATGAAGCGGACTTCCTTGTGGGAGATGAGGGAGAGGGCGACGACGGTGGTGAAGACGGTGTAGGAGAGCGTGCGAAGGATGTTGGCCTGGGTCGGCGTCTTGGACGAAGGCTTGAAGAGCGCTGGGACGACAAAGGGGAGGCTGGTGGTGCACAGCAGAGGGATGCCCTGGAGGATGTAGTAGTGCCAGGGGTTGCGGCCGTAGAAGACGGCCAGGGACTTTGATATGTTGAAGTTGAGGAAGTTGTACGGCGGGAAGGTCCAGAAGCCAAAGTAGAGCCTGTCGGCGAGGACGGAGAGGCCCACCACCAGAGAGCCGCATAGCAGAGCTTCTCTGAAGAGGATGACGACGGTGGAAAGGCTCAGAGGGGAGTTGCCTTGCAGCGAGATCCTGGTCAGGGCAAGGAAGACGATGGTGAGCCAGATGAGGACGTTGGTCGGGCGCAGGACGACGGCCAAGGCGGCGAGGCAGAGGGATGCGCGTAGGCTCCAGAGCTTAGAGCCGCGTAGGACGTTGAAGGGCGCGGCGTTTTCCTTGATGGAATAGGGGGCGGCGCCGAGGAGCTGCCAGGGCCAGTAGGTGAGGGCCATGACGGTGAGGGTTGTCTCGAGGGAGTTGGAGAAGGTCCTGGTGGAGCAGTACCATTGCCAGGGATTGAGGAGTTGCATAAAGAGCTGTGAGTGAGTCAGTGGTGAGTGAGTGTGTGAGGAAGAGTGTATGAGGCGCCAGAAGGCATGAGTAGCAGGAGCACTTACAGCGAAAAAGGAGACGTTGCTGTCGGAGCCGTAGACGTGGGCCGCAAGATGCCAGGTGTACCAGTCGCCTAGGGCCGCAATCAGGGCCTGTAGGACGCGGGGAGCAGCAACGACAATGACGGAGCGGATGGCGGAGCCTGGCGGGATGATGGCGGACAGACGGTCTGCGATGGTGTAGGCGGCGGAGAAGAGGAGGGGATGGAGGGAGGACCTGAGCTGGTGATGCCATTCCTGGATGATGTTAGTGAGTGTTCTTGATGCCATCCATGATGTCGAGGTTGTCATGATTAGATGCTGTAATGAACAGATTTCTCTCTCTGTTTATATATGTAGATGGATACATGTAGTCTTATATCAACTTACCCACGTCAGCCACGCGCCGCTATCTGGCCCAAAGGCGAGGCGCCAGGCCGGCTCCAAGGCCTGGAAGAACTCGTCGGGCTGGAAGAAGGTGGCCAGGCACCAGGCATTGACCAGGCGGATGAAGAAGATGTCGCGCAGCGGCACGGGCGAGAGACGCGGCTTGCCCTTGAGCGAGGCCGAGGGGGCGCGTCTGTGGCCGGCCATGGTGAGTTGGTGATGGCTTCACGGGGGCTGCGAGGTGCAGTGGAGGTGTTTAGTTGGTTCCATTGGCTGGGCTGCAGGTGGGTTATGGAGGTTCACTCGTGCTCCAGCTGGTTCTGGGTGCTGTTAGTGATTGATTTAGGGGAGTGGCGGCCTGGAGGGACGGATTTACAGGGGCAGAGGGGGTGGCGCCACTGGAGGGCGATTGGTTTTGGGGCATGGCGGTACCTAGTGGGAGGTGCTGGATCTGGTCGGGTAGCATTAGAAAGGGGATATGCTGCGTAATGGTGCTTGGATGGGTTATTCGAAGAGTCATCTAATGTTTTAAGATGTGAATCTTTGTCGAGCTATTAATACTAGGCAAGGTACGCAATATGGCTTGGTGACTCCTCAGTGCTGGATGAAGCGTTTCATCTGATACAGTAGGTAAGCATCGCCAACCCTGTCTCAACTCGCCCACTACACACCTCGCTTAGCTCTACAGTTACAGCAATACGGTATACAAACACTGGATCAAAACCTCGGATCGTCAGCTTCATCACCTTCAGCTTCATGCTGAGCATCCGCGATTTCGAGTCTCGATTTTCTCCCATTACATCATCCGCCAACAGTCCCCCTCCATCCATCCATCGCTGCATCGAGCATCCATCGCCAGTGCAAAGTCGGTACGTAATGCCGTCGTCGCGATTGGCTGCTCATCCCGTGGCCTGGCAGGGCTTCTCCGACTCACGACACGCCATCCCCCACCTTTCCAGCACCTTAGATCCGATGTTGCAGCACCTTGGGATCGTGGCCGAACGGTGGGGTTGCGTGTTATGATGCCGCCGCGCCTCCAACGCCAACCAGACGATGCAAAAGAGGTCCAGAGAGGTGACTTGAAGCTCACGGGAACAACCAGCAGCATCGTCTCCAGGCACCTGCATCCAACAAATCACGATGCCATCTTCTTCTTCTTCTTCTTCTCCTTCTTCCTCACCAACCATCTGCTCGCCGCAGCTCCGGATCCTCGGCCACCATGAGCTCTGAAATCCGCACTCGCCGAGATAGCCCATCGCGAGACCCTCACTCTCCATCCACTGGGCTACTGTCTGCACGACAACAAAGCCAGTAGGGGTCCAGCCACCCCCAAATGCCGAGGCCAGCCGCCCGTCGTCCATCCCTGCGGCAGCGTCGCCGCTGCAGACCGGCAGCAGACGGGCGACGGTGGCCGGAGCGCCACGGCGTTGGCTCTGGCCTGGCCGGCAGGGAAGATCCAGCTTCTCCACCGACTTCTACTCCCACTTGCACTTAGGGGTATAGCGGCGGCGTCTCTTGGTCTCCAATGCCTGGATCTGGGCCCTGTGCTTGACACATTGATTCTCCAGCTGCTGCTTTGCCTGCCTTTTCACTGGCTGGCGGCCCGTCTTACGGAGGAGTATAATTGCCCTGCCTTGCCCCCCCGGGTCGCCGTCAGGTGGTCTGCCCGCCGAACTCTGCATTCCCGAGGCTTGGAGACTATTAGTATCTAACTTCTCTGGGCTTTTATTCTTGTCAAAGCACGAGACTTCTTGTTCAACTCTTCTCCTCTTCCATCTTCACCTCTTCTGCCGAGTAAGTTTCCCTGTCTCGTGGTACTTCCTTTCATCACTACATCTGCTTCTTCTTGCACACTTGTTATCTGCTATCGGTGCCCCTCCCCCTCCTATATCGGCTTATCGTCTCGCGGGTTTACCTTTTCGTTGGTCGACGACGTCAAGCTAACCTGACAAACTTAGACCTCTTCTACCTTCACGACACCTTCAACTTCGCCTTTAGCCGCAACAATCAACCTCATTCAATCTTCACCATGGCTCCCCACGCTAGCGACTCGACTGCCGGCAACGGCGCTGCAACCTCCCGCTTCCACGCCTCTTCCACCGAGGCCGCCATCGCCGCCGAGAACGAATACGCCGCCCACAACTACCACCCTCTTCCCGTCGTCTTCGCCAAGGCCCAGGGCATCAATGTCTGGGATCCCGAGGGCCGCCACTACCTCGACTTCCTGTCTGCCTACAGCGCCGTCAACCAGGGCCACTGCCACCCCGAGCTCGTCAAGGCTCTCGTCGACCAGGCCTCGCGCCTGACCCTGAGCTCGCGCGCCTTCTACAACGATGTCTTCCCCAAGTGGGCCGAAAAGGTCCGCAACGTCTTCGGCTACGACATGGTGCTGCCCATGAACACCGGTGCCGAGGCCACCGAGACGGCCATCAAGGTTGCCCGCAAGTGGGCATACAAGGTCAAGGGCGTTGAGCAGGGCAAGGCCTTGGTCTTCTGCGTCGCCGAGAACTTTCACGGCCGAACTGTAAGTACCCTAAGTCTCGAGGAGCGAAACCGGGCCTTGGTTGCCACGACGCTCCAAGGGCTCTGGCTCATTGTTAGATGGCCTGTACTAACATGGTCTCCAGATGACCGCCATCACCCTGTCTACCGATCCCGAGTCCAAGGACAACTACGGCCCTTACGTCCCCAACATTGGCGCCACCTCTCCCTCCACCGGCAAGCCTATCCGTTACAACAATGTGGCCGACCTGGAAGAGGTCCTGGAGGCCCATGGAAAGGACACCGCCGCCTTCATCGTTGAGCCCATCCAGGGCGAGGCCGGTGTTGTCGTTCCCGACGACGACTACCTGCCCAAGGTGCACGCTCTTTGCAAGAAGCACAACGTCCTCCTCATCTGTGATGAGGTCCAGACCGGCATCGGCCGAACCGGCCGTCTGCTCTGCTCCGAGTGGGCCGGCATCAAGCCCGACATTGTCACTCTCGGCAAGGCCATCTCCGGAGGCATGTACCCCGTCAGCGCCGTTCTCAGCAGCAAGGAGATCATGCTGGTCGTTGAGCCTGGCACTCACGGTTCAACCTACGGCGGCAACCCCCTGGGCTGTGCCGTGTCCATCCGGGCTCTGGAGGTTCTCGAGGAGGAGAATATGACTGCCAACGCCGAGCGCTTGGGCCACATCTTCCGTGACGGCATAGCCGCCCTGAAGTCGCCCATCATCAAGACTGTCCGTGGCAAGGGTCTGTTGAATGCCGTTGTCATTGACGAGACTGCTACTTCTGGCCGAACTGCTTGGGATCTTTGCCTTTTGCTGAAGAGCAAGGGCCTTTTGGTAAGTCCCACGTCTGCCTATCAGGCATCTTTGCATCTGCTTTGGCATCTACGGCTGCCTTGTCTGCCTTGTCACCTGCTCCTCCATTACCCCTCTCTTGCCGTGGTCCTCTTGCTAACTGTCATCATGTAGGCCAAGCCAACCCACGGCGACATCATCCGATTTGCCCCTCCTCTGGTCATCACGGAGGAGGAGCTCAAGAAGGGCCTCAGCATCATCGCCGAGGCTCTGAAGGAGCTCCCCACCGCCCCTCAGGCCAAGGACCACTAGAGCGTTGACAGCTTCCCCACGACAGTGAGGGAAAAGGGAGGGGGGTGAGAGGGGGGGTTTTTTTCGACGGCGTACCGTCCTACGAGAAGTAGACGCAGCTGCCTCGTGAGCGCGAGCTCCGGGAATTATGAGGGCGACCCACGCGGAAAGAGAAGACGACGAATTTCCTTTCTGATTTACCACGTCAAACATATAAGATACCCAAGGGATGACCAGGACCGGTCATGAAGCAGCATAGGCACGGGAGCATGTTATTTTGGATTTTGCAACGGGACTTTTTGGTTCCCTTTCTGTTATTCTTGACTTTCTCTTTTCTAGATTGATCGTTTGGCGCCGGAAATGATCTTCTTTTCCCTGATCTGTTGGTCAGGTCGGACGATGTTTGTCCGCGGCGCAAATGGTGTAGGTAGTGTGACCCTGCTCGTTTCTGGTCGGGGGCAGAAGGGCGTATGAATGAGACGAGTTGAGGTCAAAAGATATGCTGGCAATGGATCCCTACCGTGAACGTATGCATTACTTTTACCGACATGCATGCTTCAACTACTACCTACATACTTCACCGCCGTGTAGGTGAATGCCATCGTCCCTGTCCAAGACGGTCCATTGCATGAAGGCGGAGTCAACTTTTCCGTTTGCAATTACTACCACAAAAGCGTATGCACTTATCCTTTTTGGCGTCGTCCTCTTGTCACTCAACTGACTGGGAGCGGCTCCGAACGGCACTTTTCAAGAACTGTGCAGGTACATTTGGCGCGGTCTACGTGTGCAGAAGCAGAGGCAGAAGCCAAAGCTGAAGCACAGACAGACATTGAGGTGCATCATACAGCTTGAGGCACCAAGGCAGAAAAGTAGGTACTAGTATGTTGTGCATGTTGCCAGAGTAGGTAATGGCCGAGCCTATAAGGAGATTCTAAAGGGGAGAGAGGGAGGGGGGGACATTTCTGCCTACAGCTCTGTGGGTATGTGCGTCTACGTCTACATTGACCTAGGTAGGTAGGTACCTGTGTTACTGGTTTATGGTATCGGATATAAAGATTGGATGTAAATAGTACTACCTATGCACTTTTGACATAGTACTGAGAACGGTATGTATCTATGTAAGGGGCTTGGAGATAGTACTAGTAGATTGTATGTGATGTGAAGATTGAGAATTTGATATCTGATTACCTTTTTTTGCCCTGCAGTGATTTGATAAGGCGGCAGTCGAGTATAATCGAGCCAGGCATAGCATAGCATAGCATAGCATAGCAGAAGCGTTTTTGCAGAGCGATAAGCTGAGCTTTCAGGACGGGTAGTACCAATCTTTGTGATCTGATAGGATGGAGGGCCTGGCTGGGTGCCTAGAGAGGAGAGAGATCCTGCATGGAACCTCGTTTACCTATATACTATATACTTTCATATGCAGGTGATGGTTACAGGGGTTGTAGGGTGTGGCAAGATGAGGTTATTGAAAGCGGGGGAGAGAGAGAGAGAGAGAGAGAGAGAGTACATTATGTATTGTGAAATGGAGGTAGTACGTGAGTTGAGTTCTGGAGTGTGTGATGGATGGTTGGGGTTGGTGTGACGATGTTGTGTGTGTGTGTGTGTGTGTGTGTATGTGTGGTGCTAGT